GCAATTTCGAATTGATTAATTTCAGAAATATTTCAAAGTTCAATTGTTTACCTCCTAACGTTATCGTGTGTCTGTGAGTGCGTGCTTGCCTGCGTGCATTTGTTGTTCAAATCGGCATATGAATAACCTCGCGGCCATGTTGGCTGTACACTGGAAGGCGAAGCGCCCTGGCTGTTATGCTCTGTTCACTGGACCCCGTGTGGATTCTGGGTTAGTATAAGATGTCTCGGTGACCCGTGGGACGTGGCTCACAATATCAATCACTTATATGTCTGGTGAAGGTCCTATAGGTGGAATATTACATACTGAGTGCAGTGTGTGGCGTATAGCTCCTTCAATTCGTCTTCTCAGCCTATATATTCAGAGCAGTGACAGCAAATCATAGGTGTGTGAGTATGTGGCGTAATAGTCTGGATGTGATTCCAGAAGATCTCTCACTCACTCACTCACTCACTCAGACTTGGCTCTACTCACAGTGCTTATTCACAGGTCTCAGCAAGGTGTTTTACAGACGAACTTAACACCATATATATGTGCCATATTATCTGTATTTTACGGTAATATTTTCTGTCACCAAGTGATCTTCAGAGGTTGTCTCAGGATAAGCGGGTTTCCATTTTTTAGATTAAAATACACATTTTACAATTTATATAAACAATATATTATACTTTAATAACAACGTATGTTTGGCTTTTTAGGGGGATATCAAGATACCGTATCTTGTGGAAAAGTAGGGATTAGTGTTGATACGTGACACCATGTTGGTAATTTTACGTTCGCTTCCCTTGACAAATGTACGTCATATGACCGCGTGGATAGGTGACATTGACACATTGTTTAATGTGACGAGGTCGTGACAACTAGAGAAGCACTGAGCTATGGGTAACATAAAGAGTAACATCATCGCCAGGGCTCAATTCTTACAAAACTGATTCACTCGGGGCAGATATTCAGTAATTATAATACGTCGTAGATCCTGGGCTATTCTCAAAATATATGCACCATCGTGTAATTTTACATACGCTTCGTTAGTTTTGCATCATCTGACAGGCCAACGACAGGGGTCATAGACGATAACGCTCGTGCCCGCCGTGCTGGCATCGCAAGTGACTACCCGCAACAGCAAAAAATCACAGAACCTAATGGCTTGAGTTCTGACCTTTCCCCATAGAGCAAGTCTGGGACATGATCGAACACTAAGATTTCCACACTGCACATTTTAAACTCTAAATTTCTCCGTAAGGTGAGGCGTGGTGAAATAGAGTCGTTCACAAAATAAGCAGTATCATGAGCGTGTACCACATGGGTTACCACCAAGAAAGGAAGAATAACTGATTCAGAATATTTCATACTTGTAATGTGTAGGCTTCCAAGTTTCAACATACAGTAAACTACGGTTATAACGAACTCAAAGGGACCTCTTATTTTAGTTCGTTATAACCGTTGTTCGTTATAAGCATATATACAGCATAACAAAAGCAAATAGTCGGGACAAAAAAGGAGGTTCGTTATATTCGTCAGTTCGTTATAAGCATGTTCGTTATAAACGTAGTTTACTGTATATCGTATCTTGCTGTTTTCACCCTCGCAATGGTCCAGTAGTGAAGGTAGCGTTTGTAGAAATAAATTTTGCAAGACGTCCCTGTTTGATTATAAATATCATGAAGAATCTTTATAGAATCCTCTTGGCTGTTGTATTAATATTTTCCATATTCACTTGACGAAGGACTTAGGTAAATACGAAGCAATCTAACGTTGTCTTTAAGGAGAAAAGGGCCGGGGTTCGATCCCGGTCACGTCATACCAAAAAACTTTAATAGATGATACTTGTTGTTACATTACCTGGCGCTCGGCATCAAAGGGCTAAGACAAGGACTGATCGGCTCGGTGTCAGTACACTGTGATACATTCATGTTAAACTGCGACATGGTACTGGTATCTCGGTGAGCTAGCACTATAACATTGGCATTAGTTCGAACTTGTACAAGCAGCTACACACACACACGCACGCACGCACGCACGCACGTGCATGCACGTCGCTATATAAGCGTAATAATCTTAAACGCGACGTTAAACCCCATTTCACCTCACCTCACCTAAAGGAGAATTTAAAAGTTTAAAATGTGCAGTGTGGAAATCTAAGTGTTCGATCATGTCCCAGACGTGCTCTATGGGGGAAGGTCAGAACTCATGGCTGGTCATGGCGATGCCAGCACGGTGGGCACGAGCGTTATCGTTGTCGAGCGAAAAAACCGTGGATCAGCATAGCGCGCAAACGACTTTTGGCGCCGGTATGTTGTCTCGGGAGTACCGTCCAGTGACCCGTCCATGACAATATGCTGTTGCCTTCAGGCAGTCATAGTGATCCCGACCCATATCATTACAGACCTACCCCCAGTTATGTCATGTTGCCATACGTTGACGTTCGGTAGGACGCCTCCAGGCACGTCCCCGCCTATCCAGAAAGTCCAGAGTGAATCTGGGCCCGGTTCCACAAAGCGATCTTAGCGGTAATATGATCGTAACTCCCATACTTAAACATAGGCTTACGGCAGTCGTAGCGCTTAGATCGCTTTGTTGAACGGGTCCCAAGACTCATATGGAAACATTACACTTGACCATCGGAGATTTCCACAGCTTCTACGCCCTAAACACCATTGGCGTCTAGCTAGAATGTGTCGATTTGATAACAGTGTTAACCATTAACTGCATGCAGACGATTTATAATTTTTGGGTCAGTAAATTGAACTCCGGTTGTCTGGCCCAAGTGAACAGCGATTTGATTTCTTAAAGCCGGTTTTTGATTGGTTGGTCCTTGACATGTATTGATAACACAGGGCGCCCTGTGCGGGGCCGATCATTAACATTTTGTGTCTGCAGAAACCTGTTCCAAAGTCTGCAAATCACAGACTGAGATACATTGAACATATTGGCTGTCTCTCCGTGAGTTCTACCAGTTTAAGGCATGCCACAAGCCCATATACGTTCATCACAGTGTAGACGACGCTCACAGGGGCAAGGCAATATAACAACTTTGCCGAAGTTTAATACTTTTAGGGATCACAAATGGTTTGAAAAATGGAAATACCGTAAAACGGATGTTAAAATACGACAGACAAAAAACGAAAAGTTCTTCCACTGAGGGGAATCCCCTTAGTGGAGGTTAAAACGTGCTACCGGTGTTTGACGCGCTGCGCAATGTCAACGATCGGACCGGCGCCCCGTCTGCCTGGTTGTTTATTGGGAGTATTCTTACTTGTCCAGCGCCTATTGTTATGGGTACAAATGTACCCGAACGTGGTGATTGGCACGACATTAGGGGATTACTGGGCTCATCTCACATAAGCGAAGTAAATGGTGAATATCTCATAAAATATAACGACACAACTAATTCGTGAACTCTATTCACATACGAACGTCAATGTAAGGCAACATGACATATTTAAGGGTGGACCTGTAATAATATGGGATGGGATCACTATGACTGTCTGAACGCCATGGAGTGGGTGGGTGAGTTGTGTTTAACTCCGCTTTTAACAGTATTCCAGTTATATCGCGGCGTGTCAGCTTAATGTGGGAGGAAAGCCCGAAGTGATGCAGGTCTCAGACGTTTACCACTTCGGTGAAACCCACAAGCACGGATATGGTGCTGACAAACCTAGAAACATAATCGGGGCGAACCGGGATTCGAACCAACAATCATAGGTTTCTGCCGTGTCCAAGGGACGTAACTCTGCACAGCGAATCGCTGCGCCTTAGACGACTGGGCCACCCGTGCCCCCTATTGTCCATGGAAGGGTCACTGGACAGGTCTACCAAGACAACATACTGGCGCCAATAGTTGTGGCATTTGCACGCATTGCTGGTCCACGTTTTTTCGCTCGACGACGATAACGCTCGTGCACGTATCGTAACTTACTACCCGCAACAAAACATCATCACAAAGGCGTGCGTCCTGACCTTTCCACCACAGAACACGTCAGGGACACGATCGGGGGACGTAGACGTCAAAGCCCACCTGCTACGTGATCCGAACGGACCAGGCACTGCACGAGGAATGGACAAGACCATGCCTCGCCGTAAAAACGAATGTGTAACCAACCATGGGGGCAGCAAGTCATCTCATACGTTCATTTGTTTACTACACACCCCTGCCGTTTGCCCTTGATGTTTCCACCCTTTTAATACACCGTCAACATGTTCTGTTGAATGTCATGTCACCATTCTTCCTTTTCTCAATTCTATTACCGTGACTCGATACCGCTTTGTATTGATGTAAGTTGGTATTTTCGAATATCCGTTACTTGTTTGAAAACGCAGGGATATAGCGATCGGCATGTCCGTTTTCCCTTCCCGGAGCAGAACTTCCAAACCGCTGAATATTTTTTTTACGAAACTTGCTCTACAGATCAGTCAAGTGGTGAACTAGTGCCTTTTTTGTTTTTGTTGTTGTTTAACGCCGCACTCAGCAATATTCCAGCTATAAGACGGCGTTATGTAAATAATCGAGTCTAGTCCAGACAATCCAGTGATTGATATCATGAGCATCGATCCACGCAATTTGGATACAATGACATAGTTACACCAACCAAGTCAGCGAGCCTGACCACCCGATCCCGTTAGTCGCCTCTTACGACAAGCATAATCGCTTTTTACGGCAAGCATTGGTTGCTGAAGACATGCCTTATTTTCTTCACTGAACTACCGGTACACAATGGAAAATGAACCAAATGTTGGGTATAAGTAGTCCTTTTCCGACTTGCACCAGACGGGGGGATATAGCATCTTCTGATGACTCTTGTTTTGGGAGTATATTATGAAATATTTTTGAATGTAGTGAAATTTCAAACACGTATACTATAACTTTGCACAACGGAACTATATTTATTCTATTGCAACAGTTTCATACTAACAAACGCAGTCATTGTTGAAATTTAATCACTAGTTTCAAATTTGCAACTTAATCCTCAATATTTGAGAACAGATCAATGCAGACAACATCTGATAAGTAGCTTTATTTCTGTACCCTTTAACCGTCGACCATATATCCAGGCGAGCCTTGTTTTACTTCCAAATGAGAAGTACATTTAAGAAATGCAATCTAACACGCTTTCAGAAGTTGTAGTTTCCCGACAACTACTGACACGGCTTGAGGTGACTAGCGATTTGGGGGCGGTTGTTGGTGTAGGCGTACTCTAGGGCGGCGTACAGTTGAGGGTCATGGTGCTTGATGTAGTTGCGAGACGCCTGCTCTGACGGACACGGCTGAGACGTACCACACCTGTTTCAAACAGTTTCAAAACTTGTTGTTGGATTGAATTCCATTTTGTGAAATATAGGATAGAACATTCATTTAGATGATTTTGATATGTAACGGACAGTGCGGACAGGCAATAGCAGCGTTGTTCTCGCACCGAACAATTATGGATTCATATATACGCTAGAACCATCACTGCGGGAACGTGTGTTCAAAGCAGTGTGACATTGCTGGCAATAGCGTTGTTGATAGCATGGGGATAGTGACTGATCACGCACAGTGTAGCCGTTCTCGCATCGAACAATTATGTATTTAGATATGCTAGAACCATCATTGCAAGAGCGTGTGTTCAAAGCAGTCCCGACCTGAGGATGACATTACCACGTTTCATTGACCTGCAGTAAATCATTTTCGTATTTAGCGTTAAACAAACCTTTCTTCAAGCTATGACCTCGACCTTGCGTCAGAAGCGTGTGTTCAAAGCAGTTTGACATTGTTGGCCTAGACGCAAAGGACTGATATCGAATATTAATTTTACTCACGACCCCTTACGATCAGTCAAGTCTACAAATAGTTTTGAGACTTAGAAAATACTGTTGTATACGTTATCACATACAATGATACAACACAGAAGAGACCAAACTGGAACTCCGATGTGATGAAATTCGTTGGGTATAAGTATGCGAATCATCATTCTATAGGGTAAGGACTCACATGTCCATTCCTCCTGTGACGTCAGTTCTCTTGATTGACATGAAGAAAGAGGAAGTGGCTTCTGCCCAGTACTCGTTGTGGTTGGCCATGGCGTACGTGTTCAACGTCCATAGACGGTGGGCTTTGGCGTGATCGTATGCTGCGATGATCTGTAATTAACCGTTGACTAATATGTGTGTGTGTGTGTGTGTGTGTGTGTGTGTGTGTGTGTGTGTGTGACGACGACATGAGCGTGTATGAACCAAGCATCAAGTTTAATCATGTTTGTATGTTTGTTGTTTTACGCCGCACTCGGCAATATTCCAGCTGTATCACGGCGGTCTGTAGTGGGTAAGTGAGTATGGTTCTACGCCACTTTTTAAAACATTATTCCAGCAATATCCCATACATTGTACCAATGTCGGGAATCGAACCCGGGTCTTAGGCATGACGAGCGAACGCTTTAACCACTAGGCGGTCTGTAAATCATCGAGTCTGGGTCAGACAATCCAGTGACTGACATCATGAGCATCGATCCACGCAAATGGGATTCGACATGCATCAACAAAGTCAGCGAGCCTGACCACCCGTTAGTCGCCTCTTACGACAAGCATAATCGCATCTTACGGCAAGCATGGGTTGCTGAAGACCTATTCTACCCCGAATCTTCACGGGATTCAGGTTGTGACGTAAGATATGTGTGAGTGTGGGAGTATATGGTCATAAAGAGGATGTTAGACGATTACAACTTTGGTGAAACCCTGACTACGGGTATGGTGCCTGCAAATCAATAATAACATACATGGTCAATCAACGATTGGAACTAATGACCACGTCATAGGTTTGCCACGCCTTGTGGGAACAGGGGGATGGGATCTTATCGAAATTGTCCCAGAAAATTCTTGAAAAACATAAATCATGCTTAGGTGACTGAAACACCCTTTTTCAATCTCAGTCACGACCTTATTTCACAGACCTGCAGTAAATCATTTTGTTTAGCGGTAAACAAACCTTTTTTCAAGCCATGACCTCCAACTTGTGTCAAAGTATATTTCCCTGAACCTCCTTTCACGAGGGGGCGATCGGGTAGCCTAGTGGTTAAAGCGTTCGCTCGTCACGCCGAAGACCCGGGTTCGATTCCCGACATGGGTACAATATGTGAAGCCCATTTGTGGTGTCCCCCGCCGTGATATTGCTGGAATATTGCTAAAAGCGGCGTAAAACCTCACTCACTCACTCACTCACTCCTTTCACGAAACAATCTCAAGACGCAAGTCTATGTTAAACTATGGGAGTTATGGAGTTATGGTTATCGTAATGCTAACGGCACCTTGCGCTTTTAAGATGTTTATGCTTATAATGATAACCGAAAGTTAGTGCTCAAAAAGTGCGGCGATGGCATTCCAACTCTGACGAAACCAGGGCACAGGGCTTAAAATTACTGAATACGTTGCCCACCTTATTTCTCCAAGTACCGGGCATGTACGCCATGGTGAGATGGCCGAACTCGTGTACCAGAAGATTTTCCTTGTGGCCGTATCCGTCGTGGCTGTCACAGAGAACGTTGTGGTCAACTACCACGCTTCGAGAATTGGACAGGGCGGCGAGCGATTCGTACTTGCGTCCGTCAAACGTACACGTATGTGAGCAGCTCCCAGCACATGTACCTACATAAATATATTTATAGTTGGGTAATATTGAGTTGCTGTTGCAGTCGTTTTGGTAAAAAATAATTTAAAACTATGTTTTTGTTGTTTGTTGTTTAACGCCGCACTCGGCAATGTTCCACCTATGTGACGGCGGTCTGAAAAAAACCCAATCAAGTCTGGACCAGACAATCCCGTGATTGACATCATGAGCATCAATCTACGCAATTGAGCTACGATGACATTCATCAACCACGTCAGCGAACCTGACCACCCGATCCCGTTAGTTGCCTCTTACGACAAGCATGGTTTGCTTTAAAACAGTGTGGGTGGTGTTATAACATGCATGTATGTTGTTTATTCATCTTAATATTGGTTTTTGACGTCTCTAGTCTCGACAGCTGACAATGTTTCCAAAATAAAAATCAAACTCTTTACCACGGCACGCCGACGTGTCAGCTAAATTGGCGTTCTCTGGGAAAGCTGTCAATTTGTCGCTGGTTGTAAACACCCCGACACCATGTGACGTTGTCAGCCCATGAAACACGTCATTCGGCATGTGACGCGTCATCAGACTGACGATCAAAGCTGCCTGTATATCGAAGAGAAGAACAGGTTAAACATTCTATAAAATCACTAATGAAATAGGAGAATGTGCATTTTCTCAATATGAATGTGATTACCTTCACCAGTTATATATTTCTACTTAATAAACCGCCGTGATATGACTGGAATACTGGCGTTAAATCCAACTCACTCACTCACACACTCGCTCACTCACTACGTAATAAACACGTGTAACATAGGTCAAGCATCACTTGGTACATGGTATGATGCAACGTAGAGAGAGAGAGAGTGAGAGAGAGAGAGAGAGAGAGAGTCCTGAAAGAATTGTTTTATGCAGCGTAGAGAGAGAGTCCTGAATGAATTGTATTATGCAGCGGAGAGAGGGAGTGAGGTAGAGGGAGAGAGAGCGAGAAAGTCCTGAATGAATTGTATATTATGAAGCGGAGAGAGAGAGGGAGAGAGAGAGAGAGTCCTGAATTAATTGTATTATGCAGCGGAGAGAGAGAGAGAGAGAGAGTCCTAAATGAATTGTATTATGCAGCGGAGAGAGAGAGAGAGAGAGAGTCCTGAATGAATTGAATTATGCAGCGGAGAGAGAGAGGGAGAGAGTCCTGAATGAATTGTATTATGCAGCGGAGAGAGTCCTGAATGTATTATATTATGCAGCGGAGAGAGAGAGAGAGAGTCCTGAATGTATTGTATTATGCAGCGGAGAGAGAGAGTCCTGAATGAATTGTATTATGCAGCGGAGAGAGAGAGGGAGGGAGTGAGTCCTGAATGTATTGTATTATGCAGCGGAGAGAGAGAGAGAGTCCTGAATGAATTGTATTATGCAGCGGAGAGAGAGAGGGAGAGGGTGCTGAATGAATTGTATTATGCAGCGGAGAGAGAGAGAGAGAGAGTCCTGAATGAATTGTATTATGCAGCGGAGAGAGAGTCCTAAATGAATTGTATTATGCAGCGGAGAGAGGGAGCGAGGGAGAGAGAGCGAGAAAGTCCTGAATGAATTGTATTATGCAGCTGAGAGAGAGAGAGAGAGTCCTGAATGAATTGTATTATGCAGCGGAGAGAGAGTCCTGAATGAATTGTATTATGCAGCGGAGAGAGAGAGAGAGTCCTGAATGAATTGTATTATGCAGCGGAGAGAGAGAGGGAGAGAGTCCTGAATGCATTGTATTATGCAGCGGAGAGAGAGAGGGAGAGAGAGAGAGAGAGGGAGAGAGTCCTGAATGTATTGTTTTATGCAGCGGAGAGAGAGGGAGAGAGGGAGTCCTGAATGAATTGCATTATGCAGCGGAGAGAGAGAGAGAGAGAGAGAGTCCTGAATGAATAGTATTATGCAGCGGAGAGAGAGAGGGAGAGAGTCCTGAATGTATTGTATTATGCAGCGGAGAGAGAGAGGGAGAGAGTCCTGAATGAATTGTATTATGCAGCGGAGAGAGAGAGGGAGAGGGTCCTGAATGTATTGTATTATGCAGCGGAGAGGGAGAGAGAGTCCTGAATGAATTGTATTATGCAGCGGAGAGAGAGTCCTGAATGAAAATGTATTATGCAGCGGAGAGAGAGAGAGGGAGGGAGTGAGTCCTGAATGTATTGTATTATGCAGCGGAGAGAGAGAGAGAGTCCTGAATGAATTGTATTCTGCAGCGGAGAGAGAGAGAGGAGAGAGTGCTGCATGAATTGTATTATGCAGCGGAGAGAGAGAGAGTCCTGAATGAATTGTATTATATATGCAGCGGAGAGAGAGAGAGAGAGAGAGAGTCCTGAATGAATTGTATTATGCAGCGGAGAGAGAGAGGGAGAGCGTCCTGAATGAATTGTATTATGCAGCGGAGAGAGAGAGAGAGAGTCCTGAATGAATTGTATTATGCAGCGGTGAGAGAGAGGGAGAGAGTCCTGAATGTATTGTATTATGCAGCGGAGAGGGAGAGAGAGTCCTGAATGAATTGTATTATGCAGCGGAGAGAGAGTCCTGAATGAAAATGTATTATGCAGCGGAGAGAGAGAGAGGGAGGGAGTGAGTCCTGAATGTATTGTATTATGCAGCGGAGAGAGAGAGAGAGTCCTGAATGAATTGTATTCTGCAGCGGAGAGAGAGAGAGGAGAGAGTGCTGCATGAATTGTATTATGCAGCGGAGAGAGAGAGAGTCCTGAATGAATTGTATTATATATGCAGCGGAGAGAGAGAGAGAGAGAGAGAGTCCTGAATGAATTGTATTATGCAGCGGAGAGAGAGAGGGAGAGCGTCCTGAATGAATTGTATTATGCAGCGGAGAGAGAGAGAGAGAGTCCTGAATGAATTGTATTATGCAGCGGTGAGAGAGAGGGAGAGAGTCCTGAATGTATTGTATTACCTTTTCATGAGCTGTGGCACTGGTGTGCTGTGTTGCGTCTATGGGAATGCTGGGCTCGGAAGGCTTGTGGTCATGGATTGAACCGCTGCGCACGACATATTTGTGTTTGAAAGACGCACGGTATCCATGGAGAGCTCTAGAGCTGAGACAGTGTAAGACGAAACGGGATTAAATATAGAATCTTTAACACTATAAATGATTGATTGAGCGCTGTGGTCATCAATTATCTGAAACACACATACAATATTTTTCTTTTTTTCTCATCACTTTGCCAAACAGGAAAATGTTCAGGTAGGTAAAGTTTTAGTATGTTTGTTTTTATTTCGATTTACAAAACAATACAACCTAAATTCAAAAGATGGCACAGTACTGTAGCTCATCTTAATATGTAATCAACAGTTAAGGTCAGCAAAAAAATTAACATGACTAAACATATCGTACCCGGACGGCATAGATCGTTGATTAAAATGTCAATCACTGGGTTGTCTGGTCCTGACTCGATGATTTACCGACGTCCGTTATTTAGCTGGAGTGTATAGTAGAGACCAAACAAACACAACCGTCTCACGAAGTCGGAAATTCGACAGGTCTCCACGGATTGTGAATGACGTAATGGGTTTAATTAAATATATGCGAGATATATGCTCACCTGTTTAACCCTGTGTCAGACAATGGAGGGGAGGGGATAGCCGCTACAGCTGAAATTGAGAACAAGTATAGTGAACGTGTTGTGATCTTAATACTGTTTTTACAAACACTTTGGAGAATGGTGGAATGTACAAACATGAGTCAAAGTTAGTATGGATTGTAGCTATACGCATGAATATGGAAAGAGTTTTGTCGCTTTTATTTTTGAAAAAAACGCATAGTGATGTCGTTCTGACGAAGGGTGTTGCACGTGGCGCAGGAAATGTTAATCTATATTCATCAGCCCAGTAAGTGGACAGTGATTTGTTAGTGAGGCCTTTAAGAATATACCCTATGGTGTTTCAGGCGAGGTGAAATTGGGTTTAACGACGCTTCCAAGATTATTGCACTCATATAGCGACATGCATACACGTGTGTGTGTGGGGGTGCTTGTACTAGTCCGGACTCATGCCGATTTAAAGTGCTAGCTCACTGAGATACCATGCCGCAGTTTGACACAGACATAATATACGGACTCCGAGCCGACCAGTTCTTGTTTTAGCCCCTTAATGCCGAGCGCCAGACAGGGTAACAACAAGTACCATCTTTTAACGTATTTTGGTATGACGCGGCCGGAAATCGAACCCCGGACCTTCCTCTCTACGGTCGGACTCTCTACCACTAGGCCACGGAGGCGGTCTTGGGATTCAGTGTGACAAATTACTCAAGGCATTGATTTGTTAATTTGTATAAATGTTAATCATGAAGATATTGTTATAAATGATTAAAATGATTAAAATAAACTCTGTCCATAATCATAAGAACCTCACCTTGTGACCAGGAATATAGATTTTCAAATGATATGTGACTACATTACAGTAAACTACGGTTATAACGAACTCAAATGGACCACTAATTTTAGTTCGTTATAACCGTAGTTCGTTATAAGCATATATACAACATCTTTACAGTTAATGTCAAGGACCAAAAATTGAGTTCGTAATATCCGTCAGTTCGTTATAAGCGTGTACGTTATAAACGTATTTTACTGTACTTCTTTCTGTTCTCGACTATGGCTTTGGAAACTACTAAAAAAAAATTACCGACGCAATTGCCGTAACTCTGTGTGATGTATGGATGACACTGTCTTACGTTTGTTAAGTATTCAGTGTTGAGATAATATCAAATTATAACCAAAATGTCAACTCACCGACTACTTGCAAGAATAATGCAAGCAACATGCTGCGATAGAATACAACGTTGTAATGTAATTTTAAAATATAGGTTCACTTGTAACATCTGTCGTTTTCAGTACCTTCCCACTATTTAATGCCACGTGTAAGTTGTCCTCTGATAACGCGGCCAACGACATTAGGACCCATGTATTGTCAGAAAAATGAGCGTGCAGTTATATAAAAATGGAAAGAGATAACTTAATCTCTGTACAAAATCCGCATATGCACAGATATTAGGTTGAAGTTTTAAGGCATCTTGTTTTATGTTAAATAAGAAATACCTATTATATTGTTTTCTAAATCACACGGAAATATAGACGCACACACGTGTGGCTTAAATCACAGGGTTCAATATACATAATTTGTTACTCATTTCCTTTGGATTCGAGAATCGATGAGGAAGAATCAAGAGAACTTGTACGCAATATCCTTATCTGAAATAAGGTTACACTGTCCATAAAGTACATGTGTACAGCCATTCCCTCCGCATTCCTGACTTTTTCCTCATTGTCGTGCACGCGACGTAATGGGTCTAGTAGTCAGGCTCAGCTGATGACGTAGCATCGTATCCCCTCGGCGTCAAACGTTTCCCATAAAATTAACCTTTGGTCTCTCAAGCCCACACTCAATTATTTACAGTCCGCCGTGATAGAGTGAGTGAGTATGGTTTTTCGCCGCTTTTAGCACTATTCCAGCAATACCACGGCGGTGGACACCAGATATGGGCTTCACATATTGTACCCATGTCGGGAATCGAACTCGGGTCTTCGGCGTGACGAGCGAGCGCTTTAACCACTAGGCTACCCGACCGCCCCGACGCCGTGATAGAGCTCGTGTGTGGTGTACTGTGGCGTTAATTTACAAATACAGAATACACAAATATAACTAACAAATAATTTCAGAAAAGATAATGATTGATTTAACATATTATATCCAGCATAATATTAAAACATCAATGTCTGTGAAAAGGTGTACAGACATGCGATTAACATTTTAATGCCAACTATATGCGGACAATGGGTGTAAATTCTATTTTGTGTTTCTAATTTGACCAATTTGATTATCGAAATTAATTTGTATTGTGATAGAGGTTGGAGTCTTTCCATCAGAATTGCAACTGTGATAAAACAAACACCAGGCTACATATACACAGAACCAATCACAAAAGTATTTTCGTTGTATGGATACAGTCACACCTGGGCATACCTTTGATGAATTAAGCGTTGACTCAACTATTTTGTAACAAGTCACATGTTGACCAAAATACAGATAACCACGTGGTAGTGTATTATTTTAAACCATCTGCTGACAGAAAGGTGGTGGTGAATAATTAGAACCACCATATTACTGAACCGCGTGAGACCAAATCGATACAATGTGGAGTAGAGGGTATATAAAGTCACGAAGCATAGTGTTTCAGTTCTTCGCGGCATATTCAATATTTTGTACATTTACAGTACTGAAATCAAGATGACACATCTCACCCGGATTCTTCTTTTTGTCATTGGTAAGTGAATGATGTCATGCTACAGTAAACTACGGTTATAACGAACACGCTTATAACGAACTAACGGATATAACGAACTAACTTTTTAGTCCCGACTATTTGCTGTAGTTATGCTGTATATATGCTTATAACAAATTACGGTTATAACGAACTAAAATTAGTAGTCCCTTTGAGTTCGTTATAACCGTAATTAACTGTACTTCATCAGCTACTTGGATCAGCATACCCGTGAAGATCCTTGATAGAATTGTCTACAGTAGCCCATGAAGTAAAAGGCGACTTACCGGATCGGATTGTCAAGCTCTGTGACTTGGTTGATGCATGTCATCGTATCCCAATTGCGTGGATCGATGTTCATGATATCAATCACTGGATTGTCTGTTCCAGACTCGAATATTTACAGGCCGCCGTCATATAGCTGGAATATTGCTGAATCCGGCGTAAAACAACAAACCAAACCAAAATCATCAGCTACTTGGATAAGCATACCCGTGAAGATCCTTGTTAGAATTGTCTACAGTAGCCCATGAAGTAAAAGGCGACTAACGGGATCGGATGGTCAAACTCTGTGACTTGGTTGAGGTATGTCATTATATCCCAATTGCGTGGATCGATGCTCATGGTATCAATCTCTGGATTGTCTGGTCGAGGTTCGATTATTTACAGAACGCCGAGTGTGGTGTTAATCTACAAACCAACTTGCATCAATCATCAGTACGACTGCCTCTGTGCTCTAGTGGTAGAGCGTCCGCCCGGAGAGCAGAAGGTATGGTTTCGATCCCCAGCCGCGTCATACCAAAAGACGTTAAAATATGGTACTTGTTGTTACCCTGCCTGGCGCTCGGCATTAAGGGGCTAAAACAAAGACTGGTCAGCTTGGACTCAGTATACTGTGTCTGAGTGGGGCATTCATGTTAAACTCGGCATCGTATCTCAGTGGGCTAGCACTATAAAATCAGCATTAGTCCGGACGAGTACAAGCAGCCACACACACACACACACGCGCGCATGCACGTCGCTATATAAGTGCACTAATCTTGGACGCGACGCTTAAACCCATTTCATCTCATCAATTGGTACGATGACACCCATGCAATCGGCAAGGTCGCCTAATCTATATTTCTGTCGACTTTTTCAATCCAAGCTAAGATACCTTAAAACAATATGTGCATAAGTTCCATCTGTTACCTCTGTGAAGGTTGCAATATACTATATCACATATCTATACTATCTCATACATGCTATTTATCTTGACTCGCTATTTCTTTAATCCTATTATGGAAATAGAAACTACATGTTTAGTAATTTCATTTTTTGTGTGTATTTCAGCAGTTCTGTGTGAGATAGCACCTGTAAGTATACGGGGTACCTGGATGCACATACAGTAAACTACGGTTATAACGAACACGCTTATAACGAACTAACTTTTTAGTCCCGACTATTTGCTGTAGTTATGCTGTATACATGTACATATATATGCTTATAACGCATTACGGTTATAACGAACTAAAATTAGTAGTCCCTTTGAGTTCGTTATAACCGTAGTTTACTGTACGTTGTTGTGTCTATCACACGGAAGATGCACTTCATTTCTTTCTTACGTGTCCCTTAAGCAGTACATTAAGGCAAAATATTATTATTTCGTAAAAGGCTACGATTTAAATTCAATTTTGAATAGTAATTCACATTTAACGACAGTAGCAAATCTTGAAATTTTGAAATCAGTGCACAGTTTTATTCTATCTTCTTGCCGATTTAGAGATTTTGTCTGTCTTTTTTTAAAATGTTGGCTTTGCTTTCCGACACTGCCATGTTGTTGTGCTTGATGTACATAATAACAAAGCTGTAGTTACGAAAGATAATCGAGCAATAAAACACTTACAGAACAATAATTATCTTTAATGTCAATTATATAATGTATATTATTTCTCATGTCACTTTCAATACGTTGTAATTTGTATATGTATCATGTATATGTATTATGTCAACACATTTGATACGCAACGGTTTTCATATTTTACACGTCAGTAACCAAAATGATGTCCTATGCAATTCCCTATGCTCCTGTTTTTCAATTCGGAAGGATACGCTTGATGATATCGTTCTATAATGGTCAATAGCCCATTCCCTTCCACTGATTTACTCAGAACTTGAATAAAAGAGACCAGTGAAACTGCTTCATCTTTTTTTCATATTTTGGGCCTCAGTAACGTTCTCTAAAGTTTTATGGTAGGCATGTGGAGGCCATTTCCAAATTTGTCGCATCAGTCACACAACTGTAATCTGATGCAATTTCATATTTTGAGTTGTGCTATATATTCCCGGTTTTTTCTCCTTTAGGTGAACAATTGACTTAACTTTGCATGTGTTGGTGACTGGTGCAATCAGCGGGGGAGGTTTAAAGATAATCGTTTCGCTTGTTATCATCGTTATTTGACAGTTAACTTCATTTTCAAAATACAGTTTATGATTCTATTTGTCTTTTTCAGACGTGTGGCGGAAAGAGGTAAGATGGTACAATTTTTATGCCATTTTTATATTTGTGTGCATTCTATTTGTATTTTAATCATTGTAATGTTTTCTTCTCAGCAATCAATACACTAGATGAGATATATTAACACATACTAAACATTATATATGCTACTGATTTAATACTGTATAAATAAGCTTATATGTATATGTACATATACGATACATGAACCAGCTTATTTTATAAAGAAATAATGTATATATGTATTTATGGCCAGAAATTCATTATCAAGGGTAAAATCATAATTCTGATATCGCACAATTAAGGTTTAAAAGCCAATCCCCTTGCACTGAATTAATAATCTGAGCTAGAAATAAAAAATACCTCAATTGTTTGACAAGAGGTGTGACTTCAACTTTGCAAAATTCAATTGTTCCTTTATGACGAACACTATTTCAGCAATTCCAGCCTTCTATGTCCACATTTCACAATTTTTAAGGATCAATCGAGCATTCTCGGTTTTCGAATATTTCAAATAGCTTGTTTGTGCAGGAGGTGAGGTGAGGTGAAATGGGGTTTAACGTCGCGTCCAAGATTATTGCACTTATATAGCGACGTGCATGTACGTGTGTGTGTGGCTGCTTGTACTAGTCCGGACTGATGCCGATTTATAGTGCTAGCACACTGAGATACCATGCCGCACTTTAACATGAATACCCCACTCAGACACAGTATGCTGACTCCGAGCCGACCAGTCCTTGTATTAGCCCCTTAATGCCGAGCGCCAGACAGGGTAACAACAAGTACCATCTTTTAACGTCTTTTGGTATGACGCGGCTGGGGATCAAACCCCGGACCTTCCGCTCTCCGGACGGAAGCTCTACCATTAGTCCACGTAGGCGGTCGTTTGGGCAGGATATGCTCACCTCTTCGCGTACACCTACCTGGTAACATCACTTCTTGCTCGGGATTCATCAACACATTCGTGTGATATAGTCGGAATCGTAAAATGGAATGTTATATTGTTGTTGTTGTTGTTGTTAACGTATGTTCCATTCTCAAAGAAAAGTTATAATATATTCCAAACAATAACATGACTTCTGTTAATAGCGAGCTCAATGATATGACAACCACGAAAGAAACGTACGTGCTGACCGATGCAACTCTGGCCAAGCCTAATGTCAGCTCCTTGGGAAAGTCCAATGTGGCCACTGATTTTCCTGATGGGTGGGTACCACTGCACGCATACATTGAGCACTGTCTTAAAATAAAACACTGACGCAGTCGCCTCAGGCGACGCAGTTCGCTGTGCTGAGTAAACAATCGGCAGTGTCCTGACTATATCACGGCGGCCTTTTAACAATCGACAATATCCCAACTATATCACGGCGGCCTGTGAACAATCGACAGTGTCTTACTTTATCAAGGCGGACTGTAAACAATCGGCAGTGTCCTAACTATATCACGCGCCCTGTAAACAATCAGCAGTGTCCTAACTATATCACGGCAGCCTGTAAACAATCGACAATATCCCAACTATATCACGGCGGCCTGTGAACAATCGACAGTGTCTTACTTTATCAAGGCGGCCTGTAAACAATCGGCAGTGTCTGAACTATATCACGGCGGCCTGTAAACAATCGGCAGTGTCCTAACTATACCACGGCGGCCTGTAAACAGTCGGCAGTGTCCAGACTATATCACGGTGGCCTGTAAAGAATCGGCAGTGTCCTAACTATATCACGGCAGCCTGTAAACAATCGGCAGTGTCCTGACTATATCACGGCGGACTGTAAACAATCGGCAGTGTCCTAACTATATCACGGCGGCCTGTAAACAGTCGGCAGTGTCCAGACTATATCACGGCGGCCTGTGAACAATCGGCAGTGTCTTACTTTATCAAGGCGGCCTGTAAACAATCGGCAGTGTCCTAACTATATCACGGCGGCCTGTAAACAATCGGCAGTGTCCTGACTATATGACGGCGGCCTGAAAACAATCGACAAACATGTCATACAACTGGTTTGGTTTGATTTTATGATACGTTCCAGGCCCTCGGGTTACAGTGGCACGCAGACACCCAGCCTAACCTCCCGATCCAATTAAAAGTCGCCTCTTTACACAGGCATTTATGTTAGTGATGCATAACGCTATCGACTTTACGGACACCTGGTGTCATCATTATTTTAAAGTGATTCATGAATACATGCTCATGATATAGTCGGAATTGCACAATGGACACCTCTTTTAGCAGAGATTCCTTTTGACTATAGGAAGGGAATTAAATTGTCGCTTATATTTTAATGTTATGTTATTTTGTTTGTTGCTCAACGCCGCACTCAACAATGATCCAGATATACGATGACTCAAAGTTATGAGGTTGTTAACATGTGTCCCACCCTCCAAGAATATTTTAATATTCGAATATTCCTAAATTTATCATGACTTCTTCTTTAAATAGCGAACTTAAAGATATGACAACCACGAAAGAAACAAACGTGCTGACCGATGCAACTCTGACCAAGCCTAATGTCAGCTCCTTGGGAAAGTCCAATGTGGCCAGTGATTTTCCTGATGGGTGGGTATCATTGCATGTATACATTTTGCATTGTCTTATAATATAAAACCGGTCTGGTCGTCTTTGGCGCCGCTGTTCGCTGTGCAGAGTTGCGTCCCTTGGGCACGCCAGAAACGTGTGATATTGAGTTCGGATCCCAGGTCGCCGCGATTGTGTTTTTAGGTTTGTCAGGACCACACCCGTGCTCTTGGGTATCAACAAAGTGGTAAACGTCTGAGACCTGCATCACTACGGGCTCTACTCCTACTTTTACCTGACACATCGTGATATAACTGGAATACAGCGTTGTTCCCACCTTCTAACTGTCTCACTCACTAAAACAATGTAAAATCTTCGAAAAAACGTTTTTGTCTTTGTTTGCTGTTTTACGTTTGAATCGGCCATTTGCTATCCATATGGCGGCGGCCTGTAAACAATCTGCAGTGTCTAACTATATCACGGCGGCCTGCAAACAATCGGCAGTGTCCTAACTATATCACGGCAGCCTGTAAACAATCGACAATATCTTAACTATATAATGGCGAACAGTGAACAATCGACAGTGTCTTACTTTATCAAGGCGGCCTGTAAACAATCGTCAGTGTCCTAACTATATCACGGCAGCCTGTAAACAATCGACAATATCTTAACTATATAATGGCGAACAGTGAACAATCGACAGTGTCTTACTTTATCAAGGCGGCCTGTAAACAATCGTCAGTGTCCTAACTATATCACGGCAGCCTGTAAACAATAGACAATATCTTAACTATATAATGGCGGACAGTGAACAATCGACAGTGTCTTACTTTATCAAGGCGGACTGTAAACAGTCGGCAGTGTCCAGACTATATCACGGCGGCCTGTGAACAATCGACAGTGTCTTACTTTATCAAGGCGGACTGTAAACAATCGGCAGTGTCCAGACTATATCACGGTGGCCTGTGAACAATCGACAGTGTCTTACTTTATCACGGCGGCCTGTACACAATCGGCAGTGTCCTAACTATATAACGGCGGCCTGTAAAGAATTGGCAGTGTCCTTACTATATCACGGTGTCTTGTAAACAATCGACAGTGTCCTAACTATATCACGGCGGCCTGTGAACAATCGACAAACATGTCATACAACTGGTTTGGTTTGATATTATGATACGTTCCAGGCCCTCGTGTAACAGTGACACGCAGACACCCAGCCTAACCCCCCGATCCAATTAAAAGTCGCTTCTTTACACAGGCATTTAGGTTAGTGATGCATAACGCTAAGGACTTTACGAACACCTGGTGTCATCATTATTTTATAGTGATTCATGAATACATGCTGATGATATAGTCGGAATTGCACTTCTCTTTTAGCAGAGATTCCTTATGGCTATAGAAAGGGTATTAAATTGTCGCTTATATTTTAATGTTATGTTTGTTTGTTTGTTGCTCAACGCCGCACTCAACAATAATCCAGATATACGATGACTCAAAGTTATGAGGTTGTTAACATGTGTTCCACCCTCCAAGAATATTTTGATATTCGAATATTCCTAAATTTATCATGACTTCTTCTTTAAATAGCGAACTTAACGATATGACAACCACGAAAGAAACAAACGTGCTGACCGATGCAACTCTGGCCAAGCCTAATGTCAGCTCCTTGGGAAAGTCCAATGTGGCCAGTGATTTTCCTGATGGGTGGGTATCATTGCATATATACATTTTGCATTGTCTTATAATATAAAACCGGTCTGGTCGTCTTTGGCGCCGCAGTTCGCTGTGCAGAGTTGCGTCCCTTGGGCACGCCAGAAACGTGTGATATTGAGTTCGGATCCCAGGTCGCCGCGATTGTGTTTTTAGGTTTGTCAGGACCACACCCGTGCTCTTGGGTATCAACAAAGTGGTAAACGTCTGAGACCTGCATCACTACGGGCTCTACTCCTACTTTTACCTGACACATCGTTATATAACTGGAATACAGCGTTGTTCCCACCTTCTAACTGTCTCACTCACTAAAACAATGTAAAATCTTCGAAAAAACGTTTTTGTCTTTGTTTGCTGTTTTACGTTTGAATCGGCCATTTGCTATTCATATAACGGCAGCCTGTAAACAATCTGCAGTGTCTAACTATATCACGGCAGCCTGTAAACAATCGACAATATCTTAACTATATCATGGCGGACAGTGAACAATCGACAGTGTCTTACTTTATCACGGCGGCCTGTTAGGAATCGGCAGTGTCCTGACTATATCACGGCAGCCTGTGAACAATCGACAGTGTCTTACTTTATCAAGGCGGACTGTAAACAATCGGCAGTGTCCTAACTATATCACGGCGGCCTGTACACAATCGGCAGTGTCCTAACTATATCACGGCGGCCTGTAAAGAATTGGCAGTGTCCTTACTATATCACGGTGTCTTGAAAACAATCGACAGTGCCCTAACTATATCACGGCGGCCTGTGAACAATCGACAAACATGTCATACAACTGGTTTGGTTTGATATTATGATACGTTCCAGGCCCTCGTGTAACAGTGACACGCAGACACCCAGCCTTACCCCCCGATCCAATTAAAAGTCGCTTCTTTACACAGGCATTTAGGTTAGTGATGCATAACGCTAAGGACTTTACGAACACCTGGTGTCATCATTATTTTATAGTGATTCATGAATACATGCTGATGATATAGTCGGAATTGCACTTCTCTTTTAGCAGAGATTCCTTATGGCTATAGAAAGGGTATTAATTTGTCGCTTATATTTTAATGTTATGTTTGTTTGTTTGTTGCTCAACGCCGCACTCAACAATGATCCAGATATACGATGACTCAAAGTTATGAGGTTGTTAACATGTGTTCCACCCTCCAAGAATATTTTGATATTCGAATATTCCTAAATTTATCATGACTTCTTCTTTAAATAGCGAACTTAACGATATGACAACCACGAAAGAAACAAACGTGCTGACCGATGCAACTCTGGCCAAGCCTAATGTCAGCTCCTTGGGAAAGTCCAATGTGGCCAGTGATTTTCCTGATGGGTGGGTATCATTGCATGTATACATTTTGCATTGTCTTATAATATAAAACCGGTCTGGTCGTCTTTGGCGCCGCTGTTCGCTGTGCAGAGTTGCGTCCCTTGGGCACGCCAGAAACGTGTGATATTGAGTTCGGATCCCAGGTCGCCGCGATTCCCTCTCTAGGTTTGTCAGGACCACATCCGTGCTCTTGGGTATCAACAAAGTGGTAAACGTCTGAGACCTGCATCACTGCAGGCTTTCCTCCCACATTTACCTGACACATCGTGATATAACTGGAATATCGTTAAAACAGCGTTGTTCCCACCTACTAACTGTCTCACTCACTGAAACAATGTATAATCTTCGAAAAAACGTTTTTGTCTTTGTTTGCTGTTTTTCGTTTGAATCGGCCATTTGCTATCCATATCATGGCGGCCTGTGAACAATCGGCAGTGTCTAACTATATCACGGCGGCCTGTAAACAATCGGCAGTGTCCTAACTATATCACGGCGGCCTGTAAAGAATTGGCAGTGTCCTAACTATATCACGGCGGCCTGTAAACAATCGACAGTGTCCTAACTATATCACGGCAGTCTGTAAACAATCGGCAGTGTCCTAACTATATCACGGCGGCCTGTGAACAATCGACAAACATGTCATACAACTGGTTTGGTTTGATATTATGATACGTTCCAGGCCCTCGTGTAACAGTGACACGCAGACACCCAGCCTAACCCCCCGATCCAATTAAAAGTCGCTTCTTTACACAGGCATTTAGGTTAGTGGTGCATAACGCTAAGGATTTTACGAACACCTGGTGTCATAATTATTTTATAGTGATTCATGAACACATGCTGATGATATAGTCGGAATTGCACTTCTCTTTTAGCAGAGATTCCTTATGACTATAGAAAGGGTATTAAATTGTCGCTTATATTTCAATGTTATGTTTGTTGGTTTGTTGTTCAACGCCGCACTCAACAATAATCCAGATATACGATGACTCAAAGTTATGAGGTTGTTAACATGTGTCCCACCCTCCAAGAATATTTTAATATTCGAATATTCCTAAAACTAACATGACTTCTTCTTTAAATAGCGAACTTAACGATATGACAACCACGAAAGAAACAAACGTGCTGACCGATACAACTCTGGCCAAGCCTAATGTCAGCTCCTTGGGAAAGTCCAATGTGGCAACTATTTTTCCTGATGGGTGGGTATCATTGCATGTATACATTTTGCATTGTCTTATAATATAAAACCGGTCTGGCCGTCTTAGGCGCCGCTGTTCGCTGTGCAGAGTTGCGTCCCTTGGGCACGCCAGAAACGTGTGATATTGAGTTCGGATCCCAGGTCGCCGCGCTTGTGTTTCTAGGTTTGTCAGGACCACACCCGTGCTCTTGGGTATCAACAAAGTGGTAAACGTCTGAGACCTGCATCCGTGCGGGCTTTCCTCCCACATTTACCTGACACATCGTGATATAACTGGAATATTGTTAAAACAGCGTTGTTCCCACCTACTAACTGTCTCACTCACTGAAACAATGTATAATCTTCGAAAAAACGTTTTTGTCTTTGTTTGCTGTTTTTCGTTTGAATCGGCCATTTGCTATCCATATCATGGCGGCTGTGAACAATCGGCAGTGTCTAACTATATCACGGCGGCCTGTAAACAATCGACAGTGTCTTACTTTATCAAGGCGGACAGTAAACAATCGGCAGTGTCCTAACTATATCAGGGCGGTCTGTAAACAGTCGGCAGTGTCTAACTATATCAAGGCGGCCTGAAAAGTTTTGGCAGTGTCCTAACTATATCACGGCAGCCTGTAAACAATCGGCAGTGTCCTAACTATATCACGGCGGACTGTAAACAATCGGCAGTGTCCTAACTATATCACGGCAGCATGTAAAGAATCGACAAAATCTTTCACTATACCACGGCAGCCTGTAAACAATCGACAATATCCTCACTATACCACGGCGGCCTCAGAACAATCGACAGTGTCTTATTATATCACGGCGGCCTGTAAACAATGAACAATATCCTGAGTATATCACGGCGGCCTGTAAACAATCGACAATATCCTAACTATATCACGGCGGCCTCAGAACAATCGACAGTGTCTTACTATATCACGGCGGCCTGTAAACAATGAACAATATCCTAACTATATCGCGGCGGCTTGTAAAGAATTGGCAGTGTCCTAACTATATCACGGCGGTCTGTAAACAATCGACAGTGTCTTACTTTATCAAGGCGGACTGTGAACAATCGGCAGTGTCTAACTATATCACGGCGGCCTGTAAACAATCGGCAGTGTCCTAACTATATCACGGCGGCCTGTAAAGAATTGGCAGTGTCCTTACTATATCACGGCGTCTTGTAAACAATCGACAGTGTCCTAACTATATCAAGGCGGCCCGTGAACAATCGACAAACTTGTCATACAACTGGTTTGGTTTGATATTATGATACGTTCCAGGCCCTCGTGTAACAGTGACACGCAGACACCCCGCCTAACCCCCCGATCCAATTAAAAGTCGCCTCTTTACACAGGCATTTAGGTTAGTGATGCATTACGCTTACGACTTTACGAACACCTGGTGTCATCATTATTTTATAGTGATTCATGAACACATGCTGATGATATAGTCGGAATTGCACTTCTCTTTTAGCAGAGATTCCTTATGACTATAGAAAGGGTATTAAATTGTCGCTTATATTTCAATGTTATGTTTGTTGGTTTGTTGCTCAACGCCGCACTCAACAATAATCCAGATATACGATGACTCAAAGTTATGAGGTTGTTAACATGTGTTCCACCCTCCAAGAATATTTTAATATTCGAATATTCCTAAAACTAACATGACTTCTTCTTTAAATAGCGAACTTAACGATATGACAACCACGAAAGAAACAAACGTGCTGACCGATTCAACTCTGGCCAAGCCTAATGTCAGCTCCTTGGGAAAGTCCAATGTGGCCAGTAATTTTCCTGATGGGTGGGTACCATTGCATGTATATCTTTGCATTGACTTATAATATAAAACCGGTCTGGTCGTCTTTGGTGCCGCTGTTCGCTGTGCAGAGTTGCGTCCCTTGGGCACGCCAGAAACGTGTGATAGTGAGTTCGGATCCCAGGTCGCCGCGATTTTGTTTCTAGGTTTGTCAGGACCACATCCGTGCTCTTGGGTATCAACAAAGTGGTAAACGTCTGAGACCTGCATCACTGCAGGCTTTCCTCCCACCTTTACCTGACACATCGTGATATAACTGGAATATTGTTAAAACAGCGTTGTTCCCACCCACTAACTGTCTCACTCACTGAAACAATGTATAATCTTCGAAAAAACGTTTTTGTCTTTGTTTGCTGTTTTTCGTTTGAATCGGCCATTTGCTATCCATATCATGGCGGCTGTGAACAATCTGCAGTGTCTAACTATATCAGGGCGGCCTGTAAACAATCGGCAGTGTCCTAACTATATCACGGCGGCCTGTAAACAATCGGCAGTGTCCTAACTATATCACGGCGGCCTGTAAACAATCGGCAGTGTCCTAACTATATCACAGCGGCTTGTAAACAATCGGCAGTGTCCTAACTATATCACGGCGGCCTGTAAACAATCGACAGTGTCTTACTTTATCAAGGCGGACTGTAAACAATCGGCAGTGTCCTAACTATATCACGGCGGCCTGTAAACAATCGGCAGTGTCCTAACTATATCACGGAAGCCTGTAAAGAATTGGCAGTGTCCTTACTATATCACGGCGGCCTGTAAAGAATTGGCAGTGTCGTGACTATATGACGGCGGCCTGAAAACAATCGACAAACATGTCATACAACTGGTTTGGTTTGATATTATGATAGGTTCCAGGCCCTCGGGTTACAATGACACGCAGACACCCAGCCTAACCTCCCGATCCAATTAAAAGTCGCCTCTTTACACAGGCATTTAGGTTAGTGATGCATAACGCTAAGGACTTTACCAACACCTGGTGTCATCATTATTTTATAGTGATTCATGAACACATGCTGATGATATAGTCGAAATTGCACAATGGACTCTTCGTTTAGCAGAGATTCCTAATGACCACAGGAAGGGTATTAAAGGTAAATTGGTCTTTCCAGGGTATTCTCACAATAGTCACTTCGATTATTTGTACCTTTTCTCCCCATACCGATTGTCATATCTCTCCTAGTTTGGGATGCGATCGTTCGGCCATTGCGTTCATCTGCGCGTTCCTGCTACGTCTGTAGGGAACAACTCACTACAGACACTTCCCTCTCAAAAATAACGTCGTCCAATTTACGACGTCATCAAGTTGCAAGAGCGTTGTTTGAATCTCTAGAAATGAAGCCATGATAGAACGTTGTTTCATCGTAAAATAAACCACTCTTAGTTCTTTATTGTTCTTTGCGATTTATCGCGTAGCTATATTATATATACGAATAATCAAACAATTAACATGACTTCTTCTTTAAATAGCGAACTTGGTGATATGACAACCCCGAATGAAACGTACGTACTGACCAATGCAACTCTGGTCGAGCATAACGTCAGCTCCCTGGGAAAGTCCAATGTGGCCACTGATTTGCCCGATAGGTAGGTACCACTGCACGCATACTTGTGGCAGGTCTTCAGAATCAGCTGTCTTTACATTTTCTAGGGACTACCACAGTTAAGATAAGGTGTACAAAAATAGACATCAAAATCAGAGCTAAATCTAAAACATTAATACAAAATATAAATCCGTTTTCTAAGATACAACAGTTTAATATTCATATAAAATCTATTCTGATACATGCATTTGTATGTTCGCCTTCAAGGTCTAGGGTATCAACGGCTACGGCGCATCTCCTGGTATTGAAGCAGGGGTGTGGAAACTGGACAGTTTTCCCTGACAACGACAGACTGTATCTGTGGCATGGGGGGAAGGCCACGGTAATGTGATTCCCTGTTTTGTGATTTACATGAATTTTTTCCGGCAGTTGATATTGAATTTTCACGACAAAGCCAGGATAAGTTGAGTTGTGACCTGGCAATTAACCCCGTATGATTATGTGTGAGGTCCGCCCACTATCGCGTGCCATTGTGAACATAGGGGTAGCGGGTGGTCCGCGGCAAGTAGTACGATGGATATGTGCGTGTCCTGTCGCGGCTAACAACGAGTGCTAGTGGCGAGATCAGTAGCACATAATAGTACGTGTTGATGTGAGATAACTGATGACTGTGAAAACGGTGACAAAAAATTTGCATAGTAATTGAGAAATATCGCGACAATGAAGGAATTCATTTGCTGTAAAAATGGAATCCTGTTTTTACCCAAGAGAGCAAAAATGAAAAGTGTCATGTCATTAATCAAATGATTGTGAAGGTTGAGACCTTAACGCAATGATAGTGGCCTCAATGCCATACTCCTTAATTAAACCCATTCTTTCTCCATGTAATTTAGACCCGTGAAGATCTGGGGTGGAGAATAGATCTTCAGCAACCCATGCTTGCCGTAAAAGGCGACTATGCTTGTCGTAAAAGGCGACTAACGGGATCGGGTGGTCAGGCTCGCTGACTTGGTTGATGCATGTCATCGATCCCAATTGCGTGGATCGATGCTCATGATATTAATCACTGGATTGTCTGGTCCAGACTCGATTATTTACAGACCGCCGTCATATAGCTGGAATATTGCTGAGTGCGGCGTAAAACAACAAACCAACCTACCAACCAACCATGTAATTTATGACATTATCGGACAATTCTCCAGACTGATAATGTATAATTTGGTCATGCTTGCCTAGCTTTGACATGTTTATTTGTTTGTAATTAACTTCTATCAAACAACGTTCAGAGAAATCTAGTATCGACTTGTCACATCCACCTTTAAATAGTCTTAAGAACAACACGTGTGTCCACGGGAGCTAGTCAATTTCATTGTCATGACCTGCACGTGCACACATGCGTACACCCTCTCTGCTTGTAACAACCAAACGTGTTTGTTCAAATTCTGTGCACCGCCTACTTATCTCAAACTCCTTTGGTGAGTCGGTTCAAGTTATCCTGATCACCAGTAGTGCATGTCACAAATTCCTCAGACTGTTCACATTTTAAAAGAGTTGTCGCTCATATGCCCAAAACACGTATTCCCATTAGGGACCCAGGGGTCAGAACACATCACAAGCATCATGGCGGGTGTTCAGGGGTGGTCGGTACACTCACAGAGGGATGTTGCTGCTGATGATACTCACCACTGGTCTGCTGGTGTGTGTGCGAATGCGTGTTTGTGTTCGAATGCGCTCGCGCGTGCGTGCGTGCGTTGTTTAACGGCATACCCATCACTAGCCAAGCTATATGATGGCGGTCTGTATTTAGTCGATAATCCGGTGTTTCTCACCATGAGAAACCTGATGTATGTTTGTTTGTTTGTTGTTTAACGCCACACTCGGCAATATTACAGCTATATGACAGCGGTCTGTAAATTATCGAGTCTGGATCAGACAATCCAGTGATTGACACCATGAGCAACGATCAAACCTGATGTATGTTTGTGTGTTTGTTGTTTAACGGTCGACGGTCTGTAAATTGTCGAGTCGGGATCATGAGCATCGATCTGGGCAATTGGGATTATGTGACATGCATCAACCAAGTCAGCGAGCCTGACCACCCGATCCCGCTTGTGTGTAGCTTCAAGACACCTGCTCAATAACTGAATTGTAATGTCCTCATTGTTTCCAACATTGCTTCACACAGGTTAAAACGGTCGCCGCCAATGGAACAGTGCAACAGGAATGTTTGGGCAATCCTTTAAATGATGCCGACTGCTCATACGCCGTTGGCGTCCCAGCTGGAAGGTACAACAGCGTCTGTCCAGAGGAGCCCGGTGTCTTCACATGCATTGTCATCGGAGCATCGGTCCAAAGTAAGCACAATTATCCGTCTAATTCATCAGTGTAAATAACGCTCGTGTGGTCTGACTGAGCATTTAAATAACGTTTCAACAGCTAATTTCCCTGGATAGTGGTTTTACAAGTTTTCTATTTTTTTACGCAATTCGTTCGTTAATTTAATTTCTCAAACATATTTATTTCTGGTTACCATGAAAATATGCGATTGGTTTGCTCCAGCATAGTTTATTTAATGTTTTGGGTGGTGTGTGGGTGTCATTAAATACATAACATATATTCATCAACGTACCTGCCCACAGACTCATAACATCAATATACCACTATATAGGAGTAGACTATGTAGGTAGAATACCATCTTCCCGAGGCAAGAGAGTTAACTGACTTTAAAAGTCCAGTTTCCACCCTTGCCGAACTAGGCTGGAATTCCTGGGCGGGAGCGTAGCGCCACCAGTGGCTATTACGAGTTATGTCCTTTCTATGCTCCTATTGGCCAATCAGATTCAACCTCTCGTATCACTTGCATTTGTTTCAAACAAAATGGCGGCTCCCTGTCAAGACGATCTGATCGATAATCAATATCTCTATTGTGATAAAACGAGTCTTACATCGCGAAGTGCATCAAATCACGTGAGCACCTTGATTAAAAACATGAAAAGATTTGGAAAATATCTGTTGACAACGAGTTAGCGGTGCACATGCTTTGCAAATCCTGCAGTCGACCGAAATCTGCACGACACTCTACGAACCGGATTTCGATTTCGGTGCGCGATTTTGATTGGACTATGCATAGACTCGGTAGCCCAGCCAAAATGTAACTCCATAATACCAGCCTAGTTCGGCAAGGGTGGAAACTGGACTTTTATAGTCAGTTAACTCACTTGCCTCGGGAAGATGGTAGAATACCCACTGCCAACGATTGGAAAGACGTGTCGAAGTCTGTCACATTTCGGATACTATAATCATCTTTTGCCTGGCCAGTCACAGAGACAAACCACACACGATATGGGGGATAGTACTGACAGTAATCATGTGATTTCCAATCTATAATTCTGTAATATCACTTTTTAGACGGCGAAGACATATCCGACAACGACATGCCGAACGCGAATCTTCAGCATGAAGACATAGCGAGAACGTAGGAGTGTAACTGGCTCAAATAATATCCACCGTGTAGTCATTGGTGAATAAACACGCACATGGAAGAACAAAGGTGTTTTGTCATTTACACGTACATGTATGTGCCGATGTTATCATAGTTTAACACAATAAAACGCTCTGTTCTCGGTCCATGCAATTGGGATCGTTGACATGCATGAACCAAGTCAGCGAGCCTGACCACACGATCCCGTTAGTCGCCTCGTACGACAAGCATAGTCGCCTTTTTCGGCAAGCATGGGTTGGTGAAGACCTATTCTATCCCAGATCTTTACGAGTTCAACCCACTACAGTAAACTACGGTTATAACGAACACGCTTATAACGAACTTACTTTTTAGTCCCGACTTTTTGCTGAAGTTATGCTGTATATATGCTTATAACAAACTACGGTTATAACGAACTAAACATAGTAGTCCCTTTTAGTTCGTTATAACCGTAGTTTACTGTAGTTGTGTCTCAGGTGTGACATAGGTACACCTGGATTCGTCACTATTGGATGATGATTTAAATACACCATGACAGGGATGTAGTCGGAATCCTACTTTGGATTTCTTTGATAATGGAAAGAGTTTTGTCGCTTCTATGAGACGTTTACCAGGGATGTAAAACACACGACCTCGGGCGCAAAAACCGGTGTTCATCTGATTGTGCTTATTTAGTCTCGTTTGTATATATTACTGCGTGTGTGATGATGATGATGATGATGTTGACACGTGTTCGTGCTTGCGAGCCTGCGTGCGTGCGTGTGTGCATATGTTCTCTTTTTCTATTCTGTAAAATGCAGGAATTACTTCTGGGGGCACTAACAAGTAACTACTAACTTTTACTGGGTTGTAGACTCCGCGTTTGGAAACATCGGAATGACTGAAAGTTAGGTTTTATGTGTGTACGATGTAGGCATTCCACATTGACACAATTGCGAATTTTGTTCAAGGTGACCCCAAACCCCAAACTCATTCACTCACTCGATACTCAAATAGGGGATCTTCTCATTAACAACAAAACCTCTACAGATGGTTAGCACAACAGCGTCTGTCCAGAGGAGCCCAGTGTCTTCACCATCTGTAACAACAAAACCTCTACAGATGGTTGAGAACTTCATTCAGAAAGTTCAAACAATGATAATATAATATAATTGTCATCATTTTCAACGTGTGAACATTGCAGGCATTCAAGGTCATGTCAATTTTAAATATTATATGTTATTTTTGTATACAGTGTGTCTTTCTGCCGCTATCCGTGATGCATGTTTTACCTTTATTGACATATTTTTCGTTAGAATTGAAAGAAGGCATTTACAATTTTGACTTCTCAAATATTGAGAAAGAAAGACTACAATAGTGATAAACATGCGCTTCAAGAATTTATTGCGTGTACATTTTCATACAATATGTATGTACAAACATCTTCATTAGCAGGTATACTAGCAGATTAAATGCATGGCTTGAGGCCGCTCCTGATCTGTGGTCTGTTGTTGGTGTAGGCGTATTCCAGGACTTCATACAATCGCGGGTCATGTCTCTTCAAGTAGTCTCTAGCAGCCGCCTCGGACGAACATGGGCTGGATGTGCCACACCTAATATAGACGATTTATATTTTGCTATTTGATATACAGTATAACCTTTGCCAATTATATAATGTCATAACTTTGTAGAAGTATACATTCCTCATCATTTAATGAACCAGACGTTTATGATGTACTCTCAGAAGGATTCTGTTAAAGTGAGGAAATTAATAAGCATCACAAGAACAGGAAGTACATTAACGAGTGAGTGAGTTTGGTTTTACGCCGCTTTTAGCAATATTCCATCAATATCACGGCGGGGGACACCAGAAATGGGCTTCACACATTGTACCCATGTCGGGATTCCAACCCGGGTCTTCGGCGTGACGAGCGAACGCTTTAACCACTGGGCTTCCCGACCGCCCCAGTACATTAACGAGGCATTTAAAAGTACGACATGACCACGCGGACGCCATTAACGATATTATTAAAAGGTGCAGGGACAAAACTGGTAGTCACATGTTCATGCCAGCCGTGACGTCCGTCCTAATGACAGCCATGAAGAAGGAGGCAGTTGCCTCAGCCCAGTACTCATCAGCATTCACCATTCCGTACACGCCAAGTGTCCACAGACGATGACTGCGAGCGTTACTGTATGCAGCAAGAATCTATAAATGAGAGTAAATGAGTGAATGTGTGAAGCAATAATATTAATATTAAAGTAAAGTCATGGTGGTGTACACATAATTGGACTCGGAGCTAAGAACCCCTTCGTACGGCCCACTCTTCGCTAGTGACATAAGCATGGACTTGCACTTCAAAACATAAACATCGACGTCTTAAACGTATTTGTAACACCTGTTTTAAGAATCTTGCAATGCTATTGGTTAATCCCCACCACGTGACGAAACAATACTTTTCGATGTTGACCCCAAGAACATGTGACTGACACAGACCTCGAATATTGTCTCGTCACATGATCAATATTGACCTGTCACGTGATGAATGTTGAGTCAAAATGGCGTCCCGCCTCATTTGACGTTTCTCCGTTATGTCGGAAGAAGATTCTTGTTGACATGCTGGATGACAGAGACAGCAGCAACACCAACGCTGTTATTAAGACAGCGAGGGGACGCCCAGACGATCACTGTGAACTCGTCGACGAGGAGGAGACGACTGTCAGTGACTTCAAAAGAAAGTTTTTTGCCGAAATCAGGAACAGTGAGTGAGTGAGTTGGATTTAACGCCGCTTTTAACAATATTCCAGTTATATCACGGCGTGTCAACTTGTGTGGAGGAAAGCGCGAAGTGACGCAGGTCTCAGACGTTTACCACTTCGGTGAAAACCACGAGCACGGGTATGGTGCTGACAAACCTAGAAACATAATCGGGGCGAGTTGGGATTCGAACCCACAATCATAGGTTTCTGGAGTGCCCAAGGGACGCAACTCTGCACAGCGAATGAAATCAGGAAGAAGAAAGGAGACGTTTACAGTCGATCATCGAAGGTCAGTATTCGATTTGGACTGAAAAGGTACTTCCAAAAGATGAGAAACTTTGGTATCATAAAAGATGTTCGGTTTAGGCCCGTTAATGACATGTTCAGAGCCGTTCTTGTGGGGATAAAGAAAGTAGGCAAAGAGGAGACACAGCATAAGGACATCACCACAGAGGAAGACAGGAAGTGAAGCCTTGTCCACAGACACCCCACACGGGCTTCAGAAGAAAGTCTTCTTCGATCTTATGTTCAACACCTGCAGAAAGGGGCGGGAAAACCTCCGGGAGATGTCAAAAAATGACTAGGAGCGGAGAATCCCAACATCCCAAAATCGACGCTTTTATGAATACAAAAACACCTCGGAGGAGATGATGTTGCTGTTGGTGCGGGAGGCAGAATCTATGATACTAGGTATGTATACAATCTAAGAACATCATCTACAATTATAATTATTTATATTTGTGAAATTTGCACCTATTTTTACCTACTAAGTACTCAATTTACTAAGATCTACTATGTCTACCAACTGAATCTTATATTAGCAATGTTTTTGTGTAAATTCTACAAAGTATTGAATATGTTTCTTTCAATTATGTAAATAATCTGAATTATCACATGTGAAAATATATACTTAAGTATCAATTTTCTTCTATTCGGATATTTTATTGCTTGTCTTTTTTAATTTGCAGGCAGCCCAAAGTGTCCAGTGGCTGCATTGGAAAAGCACTTGTCAAACCATAATCCTGACAATGAAAGCTTATGGCAAAGACCAATGAAAAACGTCCCAGTATTGGCATATGGTACGACAACACCCGTGTTGGTCATAATACATCGGGGAAGATGATGATGATTTGTAAAGAGGCAGGCCTGTCACAAATGTAAACCAATCACTGCATAGGAGCAACATGTATAACTGTGCTTGAGAACAAGGAAATAGAGGCTAGACACATCAGGACTGTAAGTATCCACAATCAGAGACATCAATTAAACATTATGCCAGGAATACGAGTGAAGAGAAGAATCATGAAATGTGTAATATGTTAGGGTAAGTTCTGTCAAATGTTGCTAAGAAAGAAAGTGACTTGATACCAGTTTCCAACGATTTTTTCATGCAGAAACTTATGCAAGAAACTGATTTCAGTGTGACAGAAGATGCAGAAAATAAAGAAAGTGCAGCTACTTTAGCATCAGTGCCCACAACTAGTGCATCAGGTGTAGATGTGTATCCTCCCTGGTTTGTTCTAGTGAAGTTTCCATGTCAGCTGGTGTGTACAACCTGTCAATGCAGGCCATGATGCCACATCCTGCTCCACACATAGTTCATTCTACAGCTCACATTCACTATGGCTTTACAAAGTAAAGTGAAAAGATATAAAAACGTTAAAATAAAGTCGTAAATGTTGAATTTATTTGGTGAAATGTAATCATTGTGGTTCCTCTAAACTCTTGGTAACAACGTATTGTAAAAGGATGGAAAGGGAGGCTACTCCTGACTGCCTATTGGGACCAGTGCTCAGTATAAGGGAGACAACCCTACCTAGGGAGTGTATTTCTCATGTTGACTGACCAGCAATGTATTGGTTTAATGAAACAGAAGAGTGCTCCATAAACTTTAAAGTGAATTTCGGTATAACAAACGAATGATTTCTCTTGACGAGTTCAATATGAGATAATGAAAGTAAAGTATTTCTCTGTGTTTGATGTACAAACCTGAAAAAAATGGACTAGCGTAAAGAATAATTCTTTCTCTTCTCTCGCTAATATGCATTACCTTCTTTTGTGTTTAGATAATGAGTCATTTCAAAAAGTTTTATTTAGCAATGAATTTATTCGATTCGGGATGAAAGCATGGATCTGTTATCATTATTAAGGTGTGTTAAAACGATTCCTAAATTATCCATTAGCCAGTCACTATAATACTACACAATAAGACTGCTACTCTCTCCACAGTAACATAGTAGACTTCTCTTTCAGTGAACTATCATCAGTAATACATGTCTGCATCACCTTGCTATTCCAGCTCTTGGGCATGTATCTCATTGTCAGATGGCCAAACTCGTGGATGAGCAGATTTTCCTTGTGGCGTCACACAACACATTGTCGTCCAGCACAGAGGAACGCTGATTGGTTAGACCGGCAATAGTTGTCCACTTCCGGTTGTCAACAGTACACGTGTAGCTGCACGCTCCATCGCATCTACCTGGTGCCAAACGAGAAATCGACAATGTCTTGCCACAAAACGACTCGAAAAATGTTGCCGAGTTCTTGATAGTACATGTTCATGATTATAGTCGGACTCGTACTATCGACTATGCTTTTAGCGGAGATTTCTATGAAAATTGAATGTGTTTTGTCGCTTTTAGTTTCAAAAGCGGAAGCAGCTTCCTAGAAGGCCCAATCTTACATACAGTCATGCATTTTCTGATACAAATTACTTTCGGTTTGGCGAAATTACAGGCAGCCTCCAATCAGATAGGTGAGTGACCGACCTGAGTTCAACGTCGCTGTATTTGGCTTAGTTCACATCCTGTCATCCGAATGTGGAAGGACAGCCCAATGTGGTTTGACCACTTTTGTGAAACCCACGCGCACGAAAATTGTGCTGACAAAACAGGAATCAAAATCAGGGCGAAACTATCACATGGTTCCGGCACGCCGAAGGGGTGCATTTCTCTAATGGGAACAGTTTATGCACCGGTTAAATAACATTGAGTCTCAATTTCAGCTTTTTTTGCAAACATGTCATACGACCACAGTTAGACCAGTACACAACGATGCAGGGCTACCTTAATAGTGATGACTGAAGGTCATTCAAGACTTTATTGATTCAGTGCTCGACCCAAAGGGTAATATGTACTACATGAAATCATACGACAGTTTATATAACACTAGAATTTATTAGCCCATGACCTTTAATATGATCAAAAGTGATATTCATCGGCGGCAGTCAATGTGGTATTGAAAATACGCTATGCATTGAAAGTAGATCATCGGGACTGTAATCACTGTCCTTATACAGTCCGAATCGTACAATCGACTTTGCTTTTGGCATGTCAATGGTATATTGTCATCATTCTCAACAAATAAGAAAGACATACTCTGCTCACTGTCTTCCACGTGCTTTCTAACCACTGTAAAAAGGTGTTGTACTTTCGAGGGGTGGCAGAACAGTTCTGAGTCTAAATACGAAGGAGGTATACTACACACTCAACAGTTTACATGTGTTATTTACACATCCTTACAGGCGGTATCTGAACCAAATGCACAAGCCTCCGAGGAAGGCAAAGGTGATGGCGTCAGTTTTGGGATTCCAAAGGTAATGTAAGGCCATTACTTGCCAATATGACGCTAATCTGCGAACCAACTGCATGGTAATATCAATGCTAAACGCCGTGGAACAATCACTAATGTGTCTTGTTACATCAGCCAGGACAATATACCTGTACATAAGTGGGTGAACGTCCTCCGCATCTACAAGATTTGGCACTGTCAGATAGTCCACATGTTTCCAAACCTCATGAAGGAACTGGTTATCAAGCTTTATTCAAATGGAGATGACGTCACTTCTGATAGGGAGGATGTTTCACACCACCAAGTGGAAGCCTTCTACACTTGTGGATTAAGGCACTCAAGCACTCAAGCACGTTTGCATGTTTTGTCGGTACAGTAGGCAGATTTACGTCAACAAATCGCTGGCGATTCATAGGTCCACATTCATAAAAACCAAATCAGTGTGTCTGTCATGTGTGATTACGCCCCACATCATTACACTACCACCCCAATCATGATCATGGTCAAGAACTGTCGCTTGCCGCTTCGTCGCCAACAACGCTTTCTGTGAATCGGAGGCAAAACCTTGATTCAACTGTATACAGTCATGATAATAGGCCATTATATAATTAGACTGAGAACTTTTCAGCCACTGTGACCGCTCGTATGTGCTTAGATCAATTTAAAGCTTTTTCTGAGTTCGACTATTCTTTTTCTTTTTTTTCAGTCGTGAATAGGCTGTAATAGTCGATATTATTCTGGTTCAATATATTGTCAAACCCATAACCTACAATTTTTATCATTCGGAATTTTGTATTATGTTTTTGTTGAAAAGAAAAACTTGATCATCTACCGAAATACAATAATAATGACAACATTGACGTTATCTTCTGATGTAATATAATATATAATATTTAGACTACCTTTATCTCAAGAAGTCATAATCAAACTCAGAGAAGTCAGATACATGCGACTACGTGCATTTATACATTTTATCGTGGCTGGTGGACCATATCCTGTTTTTAATTGATACCACTAAGTCTGTAGAATAATGATGTTATAAATTTGATATGGTTTGTTTTATACTTTAACTGTGATATCTACCCTTCCGTTTTACTGGCCTTTGTTGACAGGAATTTAGTAATGCTTAACCTGTTCTCATCGCGATGTTGCTGCAATATTGCCGATGCGATGTATAACTTTAACTCACTTGCTCATTATACATTTTATCCAAACTTCACTACTTTCAAACTTCGAATAGTATCCGTCACGTGTGTCAACATACCGCTACATGCTGCAGTGTCAGCTAGATGGGCGTTTTCAGGGTAGACCACCATCCCCTCGGACTTGGAGAAGATGCCAACCCCATGTGACGTGGCGATACCGTTAAACACGTCATCAGGCATGTTGCGTACCACCAGACTGACGTCAAGTGCTGCCTGCAAATGCGAAAGAATGCATGTACTAGATATTAGTACAATGAAGATGACTACAAAACATTGTATGATAAACGCTTCTGTGATAATGCTTAGAAGGTGAAGCGTATGCTTGTTATGTCTGTTTCCCATATCGATGTCATATATGACTGTCAAATCTAATACACAATTGCTGTAAATACATACTCATACATCTCACACAATGTCATTGTTGTGAGGATTTCAAGTGTGTGTTCAGTTAACAACAGAAAGAGGAAACTCATCCCTAATGTCTGGATGACATATTATTACTCTATGAATAACAACTGCCGGTTTATTGCATATAGCGACGTTTCGTACTTACTCATCAACTTCTAAAATGGCAAAAATCAAAAAACTATTACTCAAAGAATCTAGCTATCGCATTGGCCAGGCGGTGTCTTGTGATAACCAAGAAAATTTGACGGTAGGCCTGTACTGTAATCATAATATTATTTTATGCGTTTGTTTGTTTGTTTATTAACGCCGCACGCAGCAATATTCCACCTATATGCCGGCGGTCTGTAAATAATCGATTCTGGACCAGACTGACATCATGAACATCGATCCACGCAATTGGGATACGATGACATGCTTGAACCAAGTCAGCCGATCCCGATCCCGTTAGTCGCCTCTTACGACAAGCATAGCCTTTTACAGCAAGCATCGATTGCTGAAGACTTATTTTATGTGATGTCACTTGCTTGTGACGTCACAAATGATCCTGTGCACTCTACGTTACCGTATGGTGTCGTGGTCTTGGTGTACAAACACATTCAGCTAGTAAAATCTCGTACACCGCACTATTGACAATGTATCACATAATATGTACCTATGTAAAGGCGAGAAGTTCATAATTGTCTTTTGGTACCCGACATGTTTTGCCATGTGCTTCCCCATAGTTAACTGTAATATCAGTAGGGTAAACGGAAGTTTACCCTTTGATATGTGACAGCTGATTTTCTGGCCGGACTGTTTAATCCGAACCCATACGTCAAAAATGCAACGTCAGCAGAGATTTCGTATAATTATGGAAAACGTTTTGACGCTTTTGCTTACAGTTGGCCTTTAGGAGCACCCGCTTGCCTGGCCGTACTTCCATTATAACATGCACTTCTCATAGCCTTACTATGAAGGCAGTTAACTGAGATATTATTAATGGTTAATACGAGGATTGATTAGACAGCTTATACACAGCTCTAAACTGGCAATTGTAAATTGTGCGATATATTATCGCCGTTTTTGCCCTCGTAACCGATTGATATATTTTCATGTAAGCACAGAGTGGATGGCAAATAGTCCTTACAAGGTGTGTGACCAGAATCCTGTAGTTTATTCCTAGTTACCAACATGGAGGACTAGCTGTCAAAGCAGTATATAACTTATGTTATTTATTCGTATTATGTCATATTATATATGTAATTGAGATGAATGATGTTTTACACGCTTCTGCAGTCATCTGTGTTCATTGTTAGCTAAATGTGAAAAGGTTGGGACTGGGCAACCGGGCTACTGAAGTTTCAGAGTTCCCCCGTCCAGTTGTCTGACTGGCTTTCTTGAACCTCAGTTCGTCCGTTATCATCTGACATGTACTGATCAGGTGGGTTGGGTTAGATGGGGTTTAACGTTGCCTCTAAGATTATTGCACTTATATGGCGACGTGTTGCACGTGTATGTGTGTCTGATTGTACTAGTCCGGACTGATGTCGATTTATAGTGCTAGCTCACTGAGATACCATGCCGCAGTTTAACATGAATACCCCACTCAGACACAGTATACTGACTCCGAGCCGACCAGTCCTTGTTTTAGCCCCTTAATGCCGAGCGCCAGACAGGGTAACAACAAGTACCGTCTTTTAACGTCTTCTGGTATGAAGCGGCCGGGGATCGAACCCCGGACCTTCCGCTCTCTGGGCGGACGCTCTACCACTTGACCACGGAGGCGGTCTTGGGTTGAACGCCGATTTGAACAGTTTTTAGTTATAATACGACGTATCACCTCGATGAAGGAGGAAGTTCGAAGAGATGTAGGTCGTACAGTTTGAAATCCACGAGCACTGATTTTGGTGCTTACATACTCATGTTATGAGAGAAACAGCAATAGATTATAGAATAAGACCACTGTAAAAATATGTTGGAACCTAGGATCAATACATATTATGTACCATACCACAAAATCGGCAGTAACTGAAACTTTAATCATCTGGTGTTTCAATTGCTTGTCCAACATTTACAAATTATCTTCTATTTATAATATCACTGCATGTAATTTGCTCTGGATATATTACGAGACATACACAAATATTGATCGATTTACTTTTCATATGAAGAACGAAACTCACGATATGGTTGAGTTTTACATTTAACGTCGCATCGCCAATATGTGATCCAAATAGTGACGTGAACATTTTTCAATCATGCTTTTCTTGCAATGGGTAATGGTGCAATGATATTGCCGGGCGGGGAATAAAGCAATTTAAAATGATAGAAATTATGAAAATATTGTTTTCGGAAAAAGTCAATGAAAAGTCAAAGGATTACTGCATTTCTGGAATTGGTCCTCTGTGGAGGTTTCTTCCATTGCTGAAATTTGTTTACAGACCCGACGGTAAGAACGTTTGTTCTTTCTAACTATAAACTGTAGTCCACATTTGAGAAATTACCAACAACACCTTACCTTGTGTAGAGCCTCATCCGACACGTGGTTGGTGGCTGTGATGGTGATGTAGGGGAGGGTACTGAACGTGTTGTCATTTATGCCGCCGTTGTGGGTGACGTACTTGTGTCTAAATGTAGTTGCTACACGTTTGGTGCCTATCCATTCGGTCCTGTAGTAACAACGAGTAAGGTAACTGAGTCTTAGATGCTCAGTTTAGATGTGAGCGGTCCTATATGTTGAATGAAGGACAAGGACAAGTTATAGAGAAAACAATTGATCAACAGGCGATCAACGCAGTCATATGTAACTGCATAGACTATATGTGACGTTTAAATTACCATATTGTCCTGCAAATGTCATCGAAAACTTGAGAAACCTTGAAGAGACCTAATAATATATGCTTATTGAAAAAATATATATTAAAACAAATTTTGCAAAATTTATAACATTCAAGGTAACCATTTAGCTGTGTTACAGCATGTATTTTCATATGCGATCCCTGTACGTCAGAATTTGCTTGATATGTAGTTGTGAGTGACAGATATGGACAAGGCACCTGTTGGTAACCACGTCATCAGGTAGCGGCGAATAAGCAGACGCGACTGCAATCGACAAAAATGTACAAACAATATCAGAGATACGAATATACATCATAGAGCGGTGTTTGATTTATAAATTAATAAATTAAGGTTATAGCTAATTTACTCAATATCTATACGACCTAGGCTTTATAAAAGTTGTTTTTTGTGTGATTCAATTAAAAGAATATATTAAAATAACAAATACATAATACTGAAGAGATACACGTGAATATATACGCATTAAACATTGTATGAGTCCTTTAAAGATCGGTTTCGTCCGCTGATATTTACCTGCAAGATACAGAAAGAGAACCAACATCGTTGCACTCTTAACGCGAACTAAGTTCCTTGGCCCTTGTCATTATATAACCACAGATTACATGACGCAACTGTTTCGTGATAAGAATTTGTTCTACCACAATTCAGTGTCAAGTCTCCATGTTTTTATCAGCTCTTGAGATATAGCAAATGTTTTCTCCTACTAAATACCTAATGGGACTTTTATTATTTTAATATTGTTTAATAATTTGTTCCAATTTTGCAATAACAAATAAAATGTTCTGTGGACATGCTTGATGTCTTGAAACGATGGGCTGTAAAAAGACAATTGCCATGAAGCAGTTACCCAAAACATTTTGCCTCTATGAAAGAAAAACCCAGATATTGAACATATGTGGATTTGGCTAGATTATAATGTTTGTACATTTGCTTGTTGTTTAACGCCACACTCAGCAATTTTCCAGCTATATGACGGCGGTCTGTGAATAATCGAGTCTGGACCAGACAATCCAGTAATTGACATCACGAGCATCGACCCACGCAAATAGGATACGATGACATGCATCAACCAAGTCAGCGAGCCAAATCACCCGATCCCGTTAGTCGCATCTAACGACAAGCATAGTCACCTTTTACGGCAAGCATCGGTTGCTGAAGACCTATTCTACCCCGGATCTTCACGGGTCCGACGGATCAGTACCTGGAAAGCAGGAGTGTAAAGATAAAAAAAGTAAATTTGAATGTCAGTAATGTTTTAATGACAAGTGAATAGCACAAATTTCATGATAACAACATCTTACGACAAACATAGTCGCTGATGGATGCCCATTCTTGTTGCCAGTGGTTCTGATATGATGTTGCCATAACTGGCCCGAACCCCGTCTCATGTGGATCTTCGCATGGCAATAGAGTAGTCCCGTTTTGCCTTTGAATGTCCTCGCGGATAGGAAGGCAACTATATTTCATTTCTGTTTCGTCAATATCTGTCGGTCCCAAATAAACTGATTATAAAAATAAAATACTGAAAATTGTCGTATTTGGTGCTTACCAACATGAAATGGCCATCACACCGCATGTTGTTACACATCCACGTCAACACACCATCCCAACGAGACGGTCATAATGACAAGTGACTTTTCATTGTTGGCGGGGCGGTCGGGTAGCCTATTGGTTAAAGCTCTCGCTCGTAACGCCGAAGACCCAGGTTCGATTCCCGACATGGGTACAATGTGTAAAGCCCATTTCTGGTGTCCCCCGTCGTGATATTGCTGGACTATTGCTAAAAGCGGTGTAAAACCATATTCACTCACTCACCCTATTGTTGACAATAACAACCTTCGTCAGTTATTCAAACATGGACCAAAATAGCGCGAGCAACCCCCTAAACAATTGGGATCACAACCTTAAAATTATTATAGATGCTGTCGAAGCATATGCCAAAAATGGACCAAAAGAGAAGAGGAACCTGTTGAATATATCTTTCAGAGTTGGTTTAGTCAGTGCGTGATCTTGTCATTGGTAGAATGCACAAACTTAGAAAGAGGAAACGGAATTGGAAAAAAATATTCTGTCCCAGCCACCTGTCATCCACATATAATGCCAGTATGTTAACTGATGAAGAAATCTGCCCAAACAATAAATCAGTACTTTCAACTTTTGACTTGACTCTAAAACCTGAAGACATGTCCATTCCTCTTTTGCTCCATAAAATCCATACAAAAAAAGGGGAGATATATTGCTGGGTCTAGCAAATGTATCACCAAATCCCTGTCTCAAAGATAAACCATAATCCTTAATACAATCAAGGAAGAACTTTCTTTAAATTCACAGAAAGTATTGCAGACAAGTGGAATGTATACTATGTGGATTCTCAAAATCTCAAAGGATTTCCCTGACTTTTTGCAATCTCAGAAAAGAACCAAGTTCCATTCTGTCAAAACATTTGATATTTCAACTTTGTATACCACTATCCCTCATGACAAACATAAGCAGAAACTTCATTCCTTAGATCCAGGACAATTTGTGAAAGATGAAAGTAAATGCCATCTGAAGTTTACTGAGAAAACACATATGTGAAATGCTTGACTTCCTCATTCATAACAACTTCGTAAAATTTGGGGGTGAAATATTTAGGCAAGAAGTAGGCATCGCCATGGGCACCAATTGTGCTCTGCGGAGCTGTTTCTTTATGCATATGAATCGGAATTTCTGTTCAGATTGGCAAAGTAAAAAAAGAAGGTAATTTGTTTGGTAATTAAGTTTAGCTTTGCTTTAGATATATCGATGATCTAAAATCGTTCAATAACTATCAAATAGCCAATTCCCTTCTACTGATTTACCCACCTGAAAGGCGATCAGTGAGACCGCTTCATCTGTTTCATATTTAGATCTATGCATAAAGATTCAGAGTGACAAAATACTCTCTACAAGACTGTATGACAAGAGGAATGACATTAACAACTCCAGCCTTTGTTGTTTACATTTCACAACTTTTGAGTTACAATCGAGCATGCTCTTGGTACCAATATTCCAAAGAGCGTCATACGACTCTTGCTCAGAAGTTGTTTGATCAAGTTTACAGCATCCAAGGCCTCAGTAAGCTTCAAAAAGTTTATGGTAGACATGTGGAGGACATTTCCAAATTTGACGCATCAGTGACAAAAATGATGTCCGATGCAGTTCCCTATTTTGACTTATACCATATGTTCCCGTGTTTTTTTAGGTGAACAATTGATTTTCCTTTGCATGTGTTTGTGACGGGTGCCACCGGTGGGGCAGGATAACATTGGTATCATTACTATTTGAGAGTGATTCATAATCACATGCTCATGATATAATTGTACAATCGACTCTGCTTTATGCAGAGATTTCTATTGGATGTGGCAAGGGTTTTGTCGCTATATTTTACACATCGTCTTAATCACACTATCACGCTATCGAGACCTATCACATCAAAATGTATGTATATAGTGAGTGAGTGAGTTGGGTTTAACGCCGCTTTTAACATTATTCCAGTTATATCAAGGCGTGTCAGCTTAATGTGGGAGAAAAGCCCGAAGTGGTGCAGGTCTCAGACGTTTACCACTTCGGTGAAACCCACGAGCACGGGTATGGTGCTGACAAACCTAGAAACATAATTGGGGCGAACCGGGATTCGAACCCACAACCATAGGTTACTGGCGTGCCCAAGGGACGTGTGTGTGTGTGTGTGTGTGTGTGTGTGTGTGTGTGTGTGTGTGTGTGTGTGTGTGTGTGGAGAGATTTTACCACTACTTCATTCGGTTTCTATTTTGTTGTTGCTTTAGTTAGCGATTCGTTGGTTCAATACAGTTTGTGGTTGATTGTTATTTCTTATAACTTCATTGAAAATATCACTAATAATTATGTCCCCGGCAGTATTGTTGTGTATGTGGCAATAATATTTTAATACTATTTCCATTAAGACAACTACCGTATTCGACGTAATGACCACCCAGGGCGCTCTCAAAAAAAGGAATAGGAGGCTCTTATTAGAATTTTGGTGAAAGAGTTGAAAGATTGTAAATTTCGTGGTTTATGCTGACAGCCCGAAATGATACAAAAGAAAGGTCTGTGCGTATTATACAGATATATTTTTCCAGAATTTAATTGCCCGTAATTTAGGGTGCATATAACACACCAGTGCGTATTATACACGAATAAATAATAAATGTCTTGTGTACATTGATCAATCGGAAGGGTCCTAATTGTGATTGTTCACTAGCCAATATATTAGCAAATATATTAGAGCGGGGCGCTTATTACGTCGAATACGGTTTATTTGGAGGGTTATGAAGTAATTTCTATAATTGATGTTAACAGCATTTTACATAACGAAGAAATAGATCAATTTAGCAGACTTTAGGAACAGAAAGATCAATAATAACATCCATAATATGTATGCCAGCTTATTACAATAAGAAGATTTATATAGAGTGACGTTTCGGTGTAGGTTCTAACACCGTTATCACTTGCTTTATAACTGTGTTAGAACCTACATCAAAACGTCGCTCCTACTTGTAATAAAGAAGTTGTTCTTCCATACATCTTATCCTTACTTAGCACCCCAAATTCTAAATGCCTCTCAAAGAAGTTATATAAAACTCGTAACAGACCCGTAGTAGTGGGAATTCAATCTCTTATTAACAACTTGTCACAAGGGACAGGCCGTTTGGGTTTGCTCTCAGGGACGCTGTTACGCAATAAGAATAACGAAATAACATACCAACATACCAACAAACTATCAACATAGTCATGTGATTTTGCATTAATAAACGTGTAAATAGATAATTGGTTATGCTTTTCAAACGCGGGCAGATTGATACATGCACACTTGGTCTAAATAAATGAATTACAATTCGTTCTTACATAAATCACAACTCGTCATTTATAATTGTATCATCGTGTAGATCTTTCTTTTATCTTTTTATGATGTAAATCACGTCCCTGTCACTTTTAATGTAACGTTATGTACGTCAGGTTTCCCAAGTTGACTCGGGTTACATTCTGCCATTCTTCATGTTCATTTTCAAGATCTCGTGTGTACATTCCTGACCTGCTAACATGGTAACCTCCCATTTGTCAGACATCCCATTTGTCAGACATCCCATTTGTCAGGCAGCGTATACCAGGATTAGTCAAGTAGGTTAGTCAAGCAGTAGTTACCTGTTTACCTTTCCTTAAAGTGGAACAGACCAGAAAACACACGTTTCGAGGAATTTACGGGATTGGTTTGTCATGCACTTTATAATCATCCAATCATATCAGAAATCACACTGTTTGAAGTATTCATTACATTATTGCAATATAGCTAAATACACAATACACACTGATCACAGATCAGTACAGTGGGTACATGGTGTATCCACTGCGGGCATGTACAGTGTACATCTGGTTCCACAGGTGAGGAACGAAGGAAGATGTGGAACGTTTTCTTGAGTCTGGCGGCCTACTTCTGCATTGTAGATGGCCTGGACAGGTGTTGCTTCTTCCCTGGCCCGCTTCCTCAAAGTACTGACACACTTGACAGGAGTCCGAGCTGTCGGTTTGTGGCAGTGGTCCGAGACAACTTTAAGGAAGTCCCCAACAGTGGAACATTTCCCACGGCAGGTCTTGGTGATACATCTCCAGTTTCCTTATGATGTAATGTCATTATTATCCTTGGCTGCTCGGTTTATATACGTTCGAGTAGCTGTCCATCTCTCAGAAATAGAGTTAGTTTGGCCTTCGCTATTTTTTAGGCACAGCTGTCGTGGACAAGGGTGATCACTCTGATTAACTGTACGGAACCAATAGTACAAGTGAGATTAAACACAGGTTATAGAGAAGTTGAATCTATTTAATGTGTTCTTATTCTACCTAACATTGTATTTAACATTGTTTGTTAATCTCCACTGAGTTTCCTGTATTCTATATCATTGGAAAAACTTCTCTAAATCTTTGCCTATGAAACACACGCAACCCGACACAGATCAAAAGCCACTTATAAACACAATCATAATCTGCTTAATCTGTATAGTCTGCCCACAACTGGGAGCAGCTCATTAATTAGGAGGTAAGACCGGGCAGTTACACTGGTCACACGTGACTGGTCTGTCTGACAAATGGGTCGTCTGACAACTGGGTCGTCTGACAAATGGGTCGTCTGACAATTGGGTCGTCTGACAAATGGGACGTCTGACAATTGGGTCGTCTGACAACTGGGTCTTCTGACAACTGGGACGTCTGACAATTGGGTCGTCTGACAATAAGGTCGTCTGACAATTGGGTCGTCTGACAAATGGGACGTCTGACAATTGGGTCGTCTGACAACTGGGTCGTCTGACAATTGGGTCGTCTGACAAATAGGTCGTCTGACAACTGGGTCGTCTGACAACTAGGACGTCTGACAATTGGGTCGTCTGACAACTGGGTCGTCTGACAATTGGGTCGTCTGACAAATGGGTCGTCTGACAACTGGGTCGTCTGACAAATGGGACGTCTGACAATTGGGTCGTCTGACAATTGGGTCGTCTGACAAATAGGTCGTCTGACAACTGGGTCGTCTGACAACTAGGACGTCTGACAATTGGGTCGTCTGACAACTGGGTCGTCTGACAATTGGGTCGTCTGACAAATGGGTCGTCTGACAACTGGGTCGTCTGACAAATGGGACGTCTGACAATTGGGTCGTCTGACAAATGGGTCGTCTGACAACTGGGTCGTCTGACAACTGGGTCGTCTGACAAATGGGACGTCTGACAAATTGGGGTGAACCGCTACCATGTAATTTGTGAATTCTGGTGGGACGATAAACTAACATCTAATTTAGTAAACATTATATAAATTCATCTACTCTCACGCAGACAAACACGCATGGAATTCTCCGATCGTTTTCTATAATTTAATTTGTAATCTGAAAAAAAAAAAAATACGAAACTAACTTCCGCGAAATACCATTGTTATGAACCTCGCGAATAGCCGAGTGTTGACTAGTTTCCTGAAAATCGATCGTACTACACGGGAGGTTGTATAGTAATCTATATATACACGAAATAAGTGATATTGTGCAAATAACAGTTTATTTTGAAGTTATGAACATATCACTATCGTTCCTCAAATACCACGCGGTGCCAGTTCATATCGTCATTATGTTGACAAACGGCCTGATTGTTGATATCCGTTTCGACGTACATGTATTATATGATTGCTTTGCATAACACCGGTCGGTGTTTTTATAGCATACAGTTCACTTTGACTGGTACTGGATTCTTCTAAGCGCAATAACCAGAGTATCTCAGGATGGAGATCGGAAATTTGTTTTAAACTTTAAGCAAATTTTGTGCATTGTGAAATTGTTTGGCATGTAGATAAGGAAATATAAAACAACATTTTGCATTTACATAAGTGAAAAATATCAATAAAATCTTAATACGTCAATGAGTCAATTTCTCGTTCTGAAAACTGTCTTTGTAAAGTTACAAATATATACAAAAACAAAATTGGGGGGATATCTCATGTATACAAAATTGTTAAGGCTTTGGGTATCTTATCTTTCCTAGGGATATACCAGCTTGTAAAGCAGGACTTTTTTTGCTATGCAAGACGTTGTTACACAGCCACTTCAAAACACCGTCATACCATCATCCACATCTGGTTTGTTTCATGTATTACTTTGATTAATCAACATGACTTGCAAACATGCAAACTGCAGCGATATTAATGATAAATTATCTGAACGTGACCGTGGTTTAACTATGGTTGTTGCAAGAGCGAACTAACATGCCGATAGAGTCTTCAAAATAATATTAATAATATGTACATTAATAATGCGCCAAAACCACCCCCTAACGCATGATCAAAGTACATGTGTATTACATTATTACCCCAGTCAATGGATGGGTGTGCATTCGAATTTAATTCGAACCCCTCTGGCCATCATATAACCAAAATTACTTTATGAAGCTCTAGAAGGTTAACAATCATTACTATCTCATCCTACCGGGTACCCAATCACGGCTGGGTGAACAGAGGAATATTTTTGAACAGATGTCTTGGTCATTACACACCAGATGTTCCATGTGTTTCAGTGAGGTGCAAGACCGAAGCCGCACACCCACTCTACTACTCTCAACGACTAACATGACTTAACTTCGTCTGATTTTGTGACCTGTGCACTAAACACGGGACTACGGGCCACCACTGATCGACAGTTCTATCGCATTACTCTCGCGGTTGTCAGGTTAATAGAAAGCCAAATGTGATGCAGACGTACGTAACATTCACAATGGTGAAGCTCAAGAACAAGTTATGGTGCTGACAAATTGAGGATCATAATTGGGAAAATATTGGCTTCGAACCTACTATGTTCAGATCCTGATACAAATAATGAAAGCTACACTGCACAGAAAACAGGCCACTCGGCCACCCGTGGCCCTTGTTGAGTTTGAACAATAAAGAAACCATGACAGATAACTTGTCCATTTCCAATCATGCACCCATTCAGACAGGACTGACTGTGTGCAAAAAGGATCTATGCCAGCGTTTGGCATTAGTCCAAGGTATGGTACAAAAGAACGGATTTCACACCTTGTATCTATGTGAGAATTCGAAATCGGTTCTTCAGTTTGGATGTGACAACCGCGTTACCCTATCGCCCCTGTAGAGACAAACAATATGTAAAAACCAAGCCACAGTCGTGTTCATATTGTTAAGGCATGCGTTGCACTCGCTTATCTTTCAAGATAAGGGGCCTTGGTCAGCAAACGTTCTAGTTCTAGTTGAGAAACATCTTTATCTGTTTTCGGAAAAAGCATAGGTAACCTTCAACCAGTGCTAGTTATTTGGAACACTCATATGATTGATGAACATTTAAACATACATCAATATGTATTGCTAAATGACGGATGCAGCACACATCTGCTTTCTACCACTCTTATTTGTTTGGTCAGCTCATGCTTGCCTTAAGAAGCGACATGGCTTGTCGTAAGAGGCGACAAACGGGATCGGGTGGTCATGTTCACTCACCAATTGCGTGGATCGATGCTCATTATATCAGTCACGGGATTGTCTGGTTGCAAACCGCCGTCATATAACTGGGTGCGGCGTTAATCAAACAAACAACGAATCTTATTTGCTTGGGACACAGGTGGCCCATATGTCTAAGGTGCCGCGATTCCCTGAGTTTATTTACTTGGTCATTTAAGAATCCTATGAGTTCAAGATCTGCCCTGAGTTTGATTCTTGGTTTGTCGGCCAACAAAACCCTGCTCGTGGGTTTTAAAAACGTGGTCATCGTCTAGGACTTGTGTACCTAACAGATGGTGTTTCCAGAGATAACGTCGCTGACCAAGCTCACGGAATGCGTTCATGCTCCACGCTGCTCTCTTTCTCAAACAACTGTCGACTCATCATCATGGTTGTTATTGATAGGAAGCCCGGTGACGAAGCTTCCATAGCATATGTCACTTTCTTCTGCTCTGAGAGGCGTTCGACATATGTAATGGGAACCCTTTCATGTGTCAGTAGGCTGTGGTGTTGATTCAGATGATTGTTAGAAGCAGCAAATGACGGGCTCGTGTCATATATAGTGTCCTCCCTGCACGGACATGTTATGTCTTTCAATTTGGAAATAAACTCTACAATACTTTACGTTGAATCTTCCCGTAATATAGATTTCAGATTTCAGATTTAAATTGATAACAAATAATTTTTTTGCAGACACGAAAATATTGACTCTAATGAAATTAGGAAAACCATTACATATTCCTGTGTGTCTGTAAATTGCTTTCTGTGTGGTGTATGCTCCTGTCGTTATATATATATATATATATAACTAAAAGCACGAATGCACAATACAGTCCTCAAATACACAAATTAATTGAAAAGTAAACACAACGCACACTGTGATAAACTTGTACTGCGACAACATTCTTATACATATTCACACATCGTCATTATCTGCATCTTCAGAACATTAGATGCATGGCTTGAGGCCGCTCCTGATCTGTGGCCTATTGTTGGTGTAGGCGTATTCCAGAACTTCATACAATCGCGGGTCATGTCTCTTCAAGTAGTCTCTAGCAGCTGCCTCGGACGAACATGGGCGAGATGTGCCACACCTAAAATAGACAATTAATATTTTACTATTAAATATTCACTTTTGCCTTATGTATTTCATATCAATGTGATGAAACCAGAAATGTATAAAGGACACTCACAATAACTCACATAAGCAAAGCAGTTAAAGGTACAGATACTATATAATGTAAACATTTCGTCTCGATTATCTGCCGAAACCGATTCCATTTGGCGTAAAAAATAAAGTAGTGGTAAAAAATTTATGATCAGATCACTAAAAAACAGTGATGACACCAGGTGTCCACCCAAAGGGTAAGCATGACATTTTGTCCTCCTCTGCCCGTCGCTCCCGCCATTCACACACTTTGCATTAAAAAGTAATTTTTATGTGTTGCTAAACACAGTACTCCTGCCTCACGGTGAGGTGAGGTGAAATGGGGTTTAACGTCGCGTCCAAGATTATTGCACTTATATAGCGACGTGCATGTACGTGTGTGTGTTTGTGTGGCTGCTTGTGCTAGTCCGGACCGATGCCGATTTATAGTGCTAGCCAACCGAGATACCATGCTGCAGTTTAACATGAATACCCCACTCAGACACAGTATACTGACTCCGAGCCGACCAGTCCTTGTTTTAGCCCCTTAATGCCGAGCGCCAGACAGGGTAACAACAAGTACCATCTTTTAACGTCTTTTGGTATGACGCGGCCGGGGATCGAACCCCGGACCTTCCGCTCTCGGGCGGACGCTCTACCACTAGGCCACGGAGGCGGTCCCTGCCTTACGACGGCGGCCTTCAAACAATTTAGTGATAGTGGACCCTACAAGAAAGTGACGGCGCGCGTACTGTCAATGTTCAAACTAAAAACGATATATTGATTTTGAATAACCTCAACATTATTCTGCTGCGATACAAGCGAAAAAAAGTGCAATTCATCAAGATAGAGTCAACACATCTCAGGCTGAACGTAGCGTGGGGTCAAGTGTCAGTTCACAAGTCAGTATCGGGTATGACCTGCATAAGCAGTGACACAACCTTGACGACGCTGCCTCATTGACGACACAAGGTGTCGAAGACGGCTTCAAGATCGTGACCAAAGCCTGTCGTCACCTGCTGGCTTTCAAGTCCGCGTAATCGACGTTTTGCGTCATCCCACACATGTCCGATGGGCGATAGATCTGGCGAGACAGCAAGCCAATGAGGTGTTTGGACGTTCTGTTATCCAATAACGTCTCTGACCACACGTGCAACGTGAAGTCGTTCATTGTCCTGTTCATTCGTCACCACTTGCCCCTTTCCGTAACCTACAAGAAAACTCGTCCCCTATCGATGAATGTTATCTGCGAAAATACGACAAACCAATCAGAATGCGCGTATGATTTCAAGTTCTTCATCAAAGAATCCCTCAGAAATATTTTTTTGATTTTACATATGTCCCGCATCTAAAAATATACCCAAGACACAGTAAAGTGTGTTCAATCACACTTTATCATTCCGCACGTCCCGGTGTGCTTTGAATTGCATCTGAAATATATATAATATATGGCGAAATATATGTGAACCATTACGCAACGAGTTGACAAGTGTTTTAGGTATGCCCGTTTGCGCTAAGACGGAACCCGGTCGCCATAAATGGCCATGAGAGGGGCGCGAGTCGCTATTCGGCTTGTTCCGGAATAACACGAGTTGGTCACGAATGTGTCCTGTTGTAAAGTGTTGTGACATCATGGGCCTGAACGGTGGGACACGAGGACAGATAACTTTGCCATGGTACCGTACACCTATCAAATTGCCATTGATGATCACTGAAGGTGTCCTTTGGTGTGCAGTGATACCTCCCCACACCAATACGCTCCGACCACCAGCGTAACGTAACGTAACGTTCTATCCGAGTGTCTGCACACTATGTAATTCATCTGCTGTTGGAGACGAATTTCACTATCTTCTTTACATCCAAAAGAGTTGTTATATCTGGCCAAATATGTGTAAATTGCGTAAAACGTTATCACCTAAAAATATATCCACTTTGAAACATCTGTCCAGATTCATCGTACATTTGAACACATTATTACGTTAAGGTGTCTAATTTTCTTGTTTATTTCTTTTTTATTATTTTTATTTTTATTTTTTAATATTTTTTTATATTTGTTTTATTGAGGCTTAATACCATCTTGATCTCTTTTGTATATTATATGCTGCATATATATATATATATATATATATATATATATATATATATATATATATATATATATATATATATATACTCTTGTACCACTGTTGGTGGTTTTTCAGAGAAATAAAACTGAAACTTAAACTGATAAATACTGCTGTAGAGATGGAAACTGGACTCATCTGTGAGGAGGACATACCCTAGTCCTATAAACTGAGCCTCAGAAGTCTTGACCATACCAGGCGTGCAGTTCGATGACGTGGCAGCAAAAAATTGGATTTGCAGTTGGACGTCGTGGTCTTACTCACGTGATTTTATGCATGCAATTTTCGGGAAACACGTGTAATTTCAGGATCATCATGGCTAATCATGACAAAGTGAATGAAAATGTGATTACCGTGCATGATCCTGAAATTTCAATGGCATTTTTATTTTATTGTGATTTTGTATGGTGTACAGGAATTTGTGTCCGGCTGTTATAAGTTGGTTTTGCAACGTAGGAGGGGGGAGGGCAGAGACTCCATTATCGAAGTAAATAAATCATTATCATCATCATCATCATCATCATCATCATCATCATCATAAATAACATGGATGGATTGGTCACTCACAGGTTCATTCCAGCGCTTACGTCCGTTCTAATGATAGCCATGAAGAAGGAAGCGGTTGCCTCAGCCCAGTACTCGTCAGCATTCACCATTCCGTAGTGGCTCAAAATCCACAGACGATGACTGTGAGCGTTACTGTACGCAGCTAAAATCTGAAATGATTGAAGAAGACAGCGAATGTTATTGTACGCCGTAGAAATATTACAGCTGTATCAGGTTGCATGCACAAATTGGATACAACAGTTATATCAGCATGCTTGTAGTAGTCTAATGCAGAACCTATTGTGCTTGCCCACGGAGATACCATGTCGTGTTTTAACGTGGACACTCTACTCCGGCACAATATAATGACTCCGAGCCGACCAGTCCATGATTTATTTCCTTAATGAAAAGCGCCTTTTGAACTCGAAGTATAGATCGAAATTCAAATTCATTGATTTTGTCAGTGCTCCGTCAACATTTGCGTAAACATGCGATATAACCTTGAAATTGGCAACATACTTTCAACTTTTCACCACGCCAGTGATATCATAATGTGGGAGGAAAGCCTGAGGTGATGCAGGCCTCAGACGTTTACTGGTTCCATGAAACCCACGCGGGTATAGTGTAACAAACCTTACAACAATCGGGGCGAAACGGGATTCGAACCAACGAACAGAAGTTTCTGCACAGTTACGGCGCCTCAGAAATATTTCGGAAAGATTCCTCAGTTAGCCATAGCCGTATCACAGTAATATAAGGCACCTCTATTTGCAATGGTGGAGCGTAGGGTACATTACTAGTAAATCATCGTATGTGCAATATATCTGCTTCACCTTGGCGTTCCAGTGCTTGGGCATGTATTTCATTGTCAGATGGCCAAACTCGTGGACAACAAGATTCTCCTGGTGATGATACTGATCGGCGGAGTCACACAACACATTGTCGTCCAGCACAGAGCTACGCTGATTGGTCAGACCGGCAATAGTGGACCACTTCCGGTGGTCAACAGTACACGTGTGGCTGCATCCTCCGTCGCATCTACCTGGCATCAAAGAGGATATGCATTAACATCGAGAGAAATGTGTTTGCAAAACCTTGCAGAAAAAAAGCACCTTCACTGCTCTTTCTTCAAGGCTGCGTTTCTTCAAGGTGTACCTTTAATTACCCCCCTGATGGAAGTCAGGTTCAGCCATATTACAAACATGCCCATTTCACCACTTGGAGCGGTGCACAATGAGGCAGATCTCCCTTCAGAATGACTAATCCAGTGACTTCGTCCTTCAATAAAGGTCACTCAAAACCATAACACTGGAATGTCCCATTCTGAGGAGGATGTTACCAAAATTCCTCCTACCTCGGTATTCTTTAACATGAACATATTATAACTTCTTTGAGTGGCATTTAGAAGTTGGAAAGGTAACTAAGACAAAATTAGAATCTACACCGAAACGTCGCCCAATTGTAATAAAGAAGTTGCTCATCCATAACAATTTTGTCTTAGTGAACATATTATAGTTTTCAGAGTATAGCCTTGAGAGACATACCAGTACAAAATGAAATTATGGTAATAAATTTTGCTACTCATTGGGAGAAGGCCACCGTCACCATCTACTCCTATAATGAGATTGTCATCACACTCAAACTCAGTGGAGTTAGATAGGGTTCACTATTTTATATAACTCCTTCATGATCAACATACCCCTACATGCTGCAGTGTCAGCTAGATGGGCGTTTTCAGGGAAGACCACCATCCCCTCGGACTTGGAGAAGATGCCTACCCCATGTGACTTGGCGATACCGTTAAACACGTCATCAGGCATGTTGCGTACCATGAAGCTGACATCAAGTGCTGCCTGGAATACATCCCAACAAATACATACATAATGACCACACATTCTACTTCAGTATTACTGAAAATAGGTCTCACTCTGATTTGTAGTGTGTTTCACTGAGTTCAAACCAAAGAGAAGCAAACCACATCCCCAATGACAGCATGACATATCATTACATGGGTCAATGCGATGATTCCATACAAGTCTGTAGATAGCGGTCATTGTATTGTCTTACAATCAGGTTACGGGAACATGTGGTGTCTATTGTATTATTGTATTATTGTATTACCAATATTTTTAACAGAAGACAATTGGATAGTTGACCTTATGTTCTGGTCTGGCATCGAACCCTTAAGTTTAAGAATTCTAGGTCGAGCCTATAATATAACCATGTGTAGTATGAATCACTATCAAATAGTGATGATACCAGGTGTTCGTGAAAAGGTGATGCCCCACCGATGGCTCCGTTAAAACCACCTGCAAGATCAAGTCAAATGTTCACCGGATACAGCACGGGAACATTTGACACAAGCGGAAAAAGGGAATTGCATCGGACATCAGTTGCGTCAAATTTGAAAATGGCCTTTACACGGCCGCCACACTAAACGCTGTAACATGGATGCTATAATCCTGACCCAACTAATTTTTAACAAGAGTCATATGACGCTCTTTGAAATCTTCGTACAAAGAAAGTGTTCGGTTTACCTTAAAAGTTGTGAAATGTAGACACCAAGCAACGCCTTACCTTGTGTAGAGCCGCATCCGACACGTGGTTGGTGGCTGTGATGGTGATGTAGGGGAGGGTACTGAACGTGTGGTCATTTATGCCGCCGTTGTGGGTGACGTACTTGTGTCTAAATGACGTTGCTGCGCGGTTGGTGGCTATCCATTCGGTTCTGATAATGATCATGCAAGGGTTAAAGGCGTCTCTGATGTTGAGCTTTGAGCAGTTTTCACTATCCGTTGAATCCAGAATAAGTGTGAGGTTTCAAACAATAATTTATTTTAAGGATTAACGCGCGGCACAGAATAAACATAACTTTCAAATTACCATATTGTATGGAAAATGTAATGGAAACAACATAAAACCTTTTTTATCCGCGTTTATTTTGAAGGTATATTTTCCAATTTCAAAAGCAAAATAAAACTAATTTCCCAGTCTATCAATGATGAATGGTGGGCAAGGTACCTGTTAGTCGACACATCATCTGGGAGCGGCGAATAGGCAGACACGCCTGTAAGTGACAAAACGTACACCGTCAAAGATATGACTTTCCATAATGTTTGTCTGATGGATTTACGAAATACCATTTTACAGATCATTTAGATCTAATTTAATGCACACACACATGACTTGAGGTTGTAAAACTGGTAATTCTTTTTTATGTACTAGCGGGAAAAGTTTCTGTACACCACTGACTATCTGGGAAATACATAAATAAAAGAACGATTCTGCAGCAGAATAATATATTGATGTCCATGAAACATAAAATCATCGTGACAGTGTCAGCACATGTTCTCTGTAAACATCATCTCAAACTGAAACTGACGAGGGGTCAAATTGTCAGTTCACACAGGTCAGTATGGGGTATGGCCATCATTAACAGTGACACAAGCTTGACAACGGTACCCCAATGACGACAAAAGATGGTTGAGGAAGGTCAGTATGGGGTATGGCCATCATTATCAGTGACACAAGCTTGACAACGGTACCCCAATGACGACAAAAGATGGTTGAGGAAGGTCAGTATGGGGTATGGCCATCATTAACAGTGACACAAGCTTGACAACAGTACCCCAATGACGACAAAAGATGGTTGAGGAAGGTCAGTATGGGGTATGGCCATCATTAACAGTGACACAAGCTTGACAACGGTACCCCAATGACGACAAAAGATGGTTGAGGAAGGTCAGTATGGGGTATGGCCATCATTAACAGTGACACAAGCTTGACAACGGTACCCCAATGACGACAAAAGATGGTTGAGGAAGGTCAGTATGGGGTATGGCCATCATTAACAGTGACACAAGCTTGACAACGGTACCCCAATGACGACAACAGATGGTTGAGGAAGGTCAGTATGGGGTATGGCCATCATTAACAGTGACACAAGCTTGACAACGGTACCCTAATGACGACAAAAGATGGTTGAGGAAGGTCAGTATGGGGTATGGCCATCATTAACAGTGACACAAGCTTGACAACGGTACCCCAATGACGACAACAGATGGTTGAGGAAGGTCAGTATGGGGTATGGCCATCATTAACAGTGACACAAGCTTGACAACGGTACCCCAATGACGACAAAAGATGGTTGAGGAAGGTCAGTATGGGGTATGGCCATCATTAACAGTGACACAAGCTTGACAACGGTACCCCAATGACGACAAAAGATGGTTGAGGAAGGTCAGTATGGGGTATGGCCATCATTAACAGTGACACTAGCTTGACAACGGTACCCCAATGACGACAAAAGATGGTTGAGGTAGGCTTGTGGGATGCATGTCACAGGTAGACCAAAGCCGTCAGTTGCTTTGGAAATCCGCGTTAACGATTTTTTATTTTATTCCACACATGTCGGATTTTCGTTAGACCTGACAAAACAGTAGGCTAATGGGATTTGATGTTTGCTTTCATATGACCAGACGTGCAACGTCCGAGCGTGCTGAGAAGTGGTCTGACATCCATGGGTCTGAAGGAACGGGAGGACGTAACGACGTATAACTCCTGCCAAATTGCCAGCGTAGTGTCATGCGATCTGCAGTGATGACTCCATTCCATTACGCTGCCATCTCTGAACACAATAGTTGAATAACAAACGCGTCCGCGTAACATTCCCTCGATGCCGCTGACGACCATCACTACTGGAAATATGAAACCTGGAGTTATCTGTGTAGACAACTAACCTTCAGTCCTGTAGCCTGTACCTTAGATGTGTTATTCATACCAGTGATGCTGATGACGTGACAGCAAAATTAGACTTACAGCTGGACGTCGTGGTCGGATATTATGCTCTATTCGATTCCTCACAGTCCTTGCACTGATCTGTCAAATTTGCAGTCTGAACCCGATTTCGTCCACAACATGGTCGGTCCGTCATGATGCTGGTATGTTGGTGCCGACCCAAAAGTTTCAAGGATGCCAGTACCACGCAAGGGTTCATTTTCCGACAGGCGTGGTATAACGGAGATTTGTCCGTCAACAAAGTTGCTGTTCCCTTGCTTGACAACGGTATAAGGATCCATACCGAAACGTCGCCTTTACAGTATTAAAATAGTTGTTAATAAATTGTGTCTATTTGGCTGTTCCCAGTTGAAACACGATTTACTCTGTGTTTGATTTGACTCGTCCCCACGTGTTCTGTGAATGTGTGACAAATTTCTTACTCGTGGGATTTTATGCTTGCAATGAACAGATACACGTTCAATTTCAGAATCGTCATGAAAAATCATGAAACAGAGTTTGTAATCATCATGAATGATTCTGAAAACTCCAAGGCAATTTAAGTTTTATGTGATTTTATATGGTGCACGGAAATTTGTTTCCGCTAATATTTTTATATATAAATTATAAATAATACATCATGTCAGTATGATACACATCTTACGCGTGTGTTTAAAATTATGTCCATTATTTCAAGAACGGTGTAGTCAATTGATATTTACCTGCGATGCACAAAAACAGAACCAACACCATGGTACCCATAACGTAAACTAGATTGTTGCCTTGTTGCCTTGTTTTATAGCGTTATCAGAAGGTTTTTATCAAATGGTTTGTCTTCACATGTGATAAGGACGTGATAAAATAGTCCAAAAGACTTTCTTGAATCTCTCAAAAGACTGACATTATTGCTTCGGTGCTTAGCCGTTTGTTTGACGAATGAAATGCAAAGCCTGTGTATAAATGTAGCTACAAAGCTCTATATGGCGAGATGCATATGTTTGTGTCATTCATGTGTCATGATAGACGTTGCAGCTGGTTCAGGCTGTTTATTTTCGTTAATATTCAGAAATATTTCCATTCGTGAAGTCGAATAGCGACTCGTGCCCCTTTCGTGAACATCTTTGCGACTGAGTTACGTCTTAGCGCAAATGGGCATAGTTAAAAGACTTGTCAACTCGTTGCGTAATGATTCACATATATTTCCATCAATTCTTATATATTCCAGATCATTTCTAAGAACACATCGGGACTTACGGTATTTATACAGTATGATTGAACGCATTTAATAGTATCTCGGGTATAGTTTTAGATGCAGAACATGTGCAACATCTTATTGTAGCAGAATGTAAAATAGTGTGTGGTTTAATTTACGTGTTGTAGTATGGTAGTAGCTCCTTAAACCAACCTGAACACTCTCTACTAATCCTTAGGTAAAGTACGGGGTATAGTTATGTAAGGTCTTTAGTGATATGGTTTAGCCACAGCTTGGCCAGTGATTGCATTTCCTATTGTTTCTGTAGCATGTGACCAGGTTTTTAGCTTTAAACACTTCAATATTTCTCTTCATTGGTCACTGCTGCATTACAACTCTGCATGATTCACTGCACTGCACTGATTGGGGTAAGTTAATTTGGACTTCTTTAGTATTTATATTCATCATAAGGAAGTTAGGATCTGATATTTTAGTCTTGTTGAGTACACTTTTATCGTTTTAATTGCATATTTGTTATATAGTATAATTTTCAGTATGATCCACGTGATATGCAATGTTGTAAATATACTGAACAGCACTGAAAACGCACCAGCAATAAATCTTGAAATATTACAAAAACAACTTGAGCAATGACCGATTTTAATTATAGCAGACATAAACGGATTATTAAGAAAGACGACAAAGGAAACAGTAATACCACACAGTAATTACATTTACGTCATCAGTGTAAGGAAGACACATAGGGTTAAAATGAAAAGTCAATATCTGGTATGTCCGCCATTGGCAGCAACACAGGCCATGCAACGTCTTCTCATTGATCGAATAAGTCTGCGAATAGTGTTCTGGGGCATTCCACTCTTGACGTAGTGTATCTTCAAGTTCTCTCAGGTTCTGTACTTGCGGACGACGTGAGAGGCGTTGACCCAGGTAATCCCATAGATGCTCAATTGGCGATAGATCGGGTGACAAGACATGGAAGCAGAGGCATATTATTGTTCGCTAGATACTGTGTTGAAACACGTGCTGTGTGCGCTCTTGCATTATCTTGCTGGAAGGTGTGCATATCCTGGTGCTGATGAAAGAATGGGATGACGTGATTTGCCAATATGTTATTCCTGTAGTAAAGGGCATTAACTCTTCCACGACAAACATGGAGCTCTGTTCGATGGTTATGACTGATGCCGCCCCACACCATGACACTCCCGCCCTCCACCCCACCCCACCCACCCCCAGCATTCCGTAAAACGGGACTCATAGAACAAAACACCATGCCACTGCCGCAATCTCCAATGACGATGCCTTTTGGCCCAACGCAGACGTTCATTTCGATGTCGATCAGTGAGTATGGATCCAACATATGGACTTCGAGCGCGTAGCCCTGCTGAGCGCAGACGTCGACGTATGGTGTCAGCGCTGATCAATTCCGTCGGCCTTGTACGGTTGCTGCAGTCCTGGTAGCCGGAAGTGTACGATCATGAAGATGCCGACGAACAATATGGCGATCCTGACGTGGTGTAGTTACACGACGTTGACCCGGACGTGGTCGATCTCTGGTGGTTCTTGTCTGCTGGTATCTGCTCAGTAGCCTGAGGACTGTTGGATGATAGCATTGAAACCGTTGTGCAACGACTCTACTTGACGTACCAACTTGAAGTATGCCAAAGGCACGTTCACGTTCCCCTGCTGTTAATCTTGGCATTTCTTGTGTCAGTACCCTTTACGTCTGCAGCAACAAGTGATGTGGCTTTTATAGCCCTATTCTGCATGCTTCCCGTGAAACAAAACATGTTTTCCATGATGTGCACGCAATTTGTTGCGTTTTGGCGATTTTGCTCACAAAAAAGTTTTGACGAGCTGTTCTTCTTCAGGCTTCGTCCAGAACGTCCTATATTACTCATTCACTTATATATATTCATATGACGTAAGCCCGGATAAAAATACATCCATTTTCATGGTGGTGCGTTTTCAATGCTGTTCAGTATACATTACTTCTTCTTCAATGTCATGATACATTAGTGTGTATTGTGATACTAAGTCATTGCTAGAGTAACGAATTAATTAGAATATAGTGTAATTAGTGTAAAGCAACCATATTGTTATAAGGTGCTTTCGGTAATTTATATAGTTTATAGCTTGATCTATTAGAATGGAATTATCATTAGCAATATTTTATAGCTTACATATAAATATTAGGTTTATATTACTGTGTGTGTGTGTGAGAGTGAGTGTGAGTGAGTGAGTGAGTGTGAGGGAGGGAGGGAGCGAGGGAGGGAGCGAGCGTGCGTATTATATACATTTTACTTAATTGTGAGTGAGTGAGGTTTTACGCCGCTTTTAGCAATATTCCAGCAATATCACGGCGGGGGACACCAGAAATGGGCTTCACACATTGTACCCATGAATCGAACCCGGGTCTTCGGCGTGACGAGCCAACGCTTTAACCACTAGGCTACCCGACCGCCCCTACTTAATTGTGTCATTTCATTATTAGGCATAGAGGCAGATACATATAAAGCCATACTGTTGGCATTGCCGTGATGAGCCTGCGTCCCTGAGACGAAGTTGGTATTTATGTGCTTCTAGTTGTATGTATATATTGTTATGTTTTGATGTGTATTGTATCATATAAATGGGATTTGTACCTGTAATATATATACAGCTGATGGTTGTTCTGATAATAAATGCTTAAATTTATGTTCATGGTAAAAGGTACATGTAATATGTTTGTTTAATTGTACATGTTATAGATTCTTGTAATTGTATATTACTAACTCAATCTTATTATATTATGTTTTAGGGAATTATCATCCATAGCCATATTGTGGTGGGATCTCCATATCCCTGATGTGAACAGACGGAATAAATCCCATGAACCCCAAAACAAGTACTCGTCGTCATTACCTAGACGTTATACCTCTGTAACATTATTATAACATGATATTAACATCTTTATGAGAATGTAGCAGAGTTGAGAATAATGTTATTTGAAGTTGTTTGTTGGTGGATCCTAAGTTCAAAATGATTAATTTAGTATTCTCAAGATAAATGAATACTTCCCACAACCCATACAAAGCCTCATAGTCATTATAAGGTGTCATTTCTAAACAAGAAGTGTGTCATCACATTTGATTGGCTGCAAGTTTCTGTAAACCAAGTAGATCAGTTTGATTGGTTTGATAATGAATATGCTTTTCGTGCTGTGAGCATGCTACAGGCATGATCACTTGGCTGGCGACATCATGAGTGGGAACACCTTTTTTCTTGCTGTGAAAGTGAAAACCATACTTCAGGTTAGTTTAGTTTGTTCTAGAAAAGTTGTTTTATAAAATATGAATAAAAATTGTTGTATTGTTTTACAGTTTATAACGGTAGTTTAATATGTTCATGCAATTGGGTGATAACTTAACTTTGACTTTTTAAGTGTGTAGTTGTGTACAGAATAACTGTTGATGGTAAATGTTTTGCAGGTTTGTCTATGCAGTTATTTATTGTATTATTGTATTATTGTATTATTTGGGGAATTGGATATACTGTAGGTAGGACAAATGACAGTGGTAACCAGGTCAATACCCTCTCGTGAGAACACGTGGTTCAGCCCATAGTTGGTAATTATAAGTGTTGTATATATTCTTGTCATTTATTCCTCAATAATTATGGTAAAGTTACAGTTGCTAATATATCTATTCTTATTAAGCAGTCACTTGCCATTTACCTTTTGTTAATGTTTTGTATCTTGTAATGCTATTTTGATATTAAGTTATTGTGTATGTTCTGTACCAGAGTAATGTGCAACCAACTACATGTATATGATTGTAGGTAACTGGCTGTGTCAGTTATAGCTGGTATCAATATTATTATATTAGATGTGATAATGTTGACAGGCCCATTGTACCCACAAGGTCGAACTGATAATAAAGAACTCAGTCCAACACATCGGATCATGTCGTCATTGATTGAATCATCCGTTACAAGAAGATACCAATATTTGTTACAGAGATGATAGGAGAGTTCAAGTTGTCGATTTGAATTATAACTACAATCAACAATGAACAGCTTTTTAACTCCTGTACATTTTGTTTTCTTTGTGTACAAGAATAGATCCTTTCTCCAGAAATGTTGAAATGAGCACACGGCGAAAAGCCAATTCAGTGTATAAGAATATTTCAAGTTCTTCGATACAAGTACACAAAAAGGTATAAAGCAATATGTCAAACAGGTGAGCCAAATATGCTTTTATTACCAATGTCCAGCTGATTGAGATTTATATCACTTATTACAGCCTTAAAGTGCAAGTCTCACGTGCAAATACAACTTTGCAGATCTGGATAGATCGTAACATCGTTAATGCAAATATCGTCTTTAAAACATCGATAACGGCGCGTAGATAAGGTTTATTTGCACTTTTAAAATACAGCGGAGGCGGAGCCTTTTAACACAGAGGCTCCATATATGGTCTTGTTGGGGGAAAATTACCTCCAACATTTACACGCTATATCGCAAAAGCCCGCCCCTCCGTCCGCACTGTAGCAGGCGTGAGTATGAGTGGCATTAAAGGATTGAAATATACACTCCTCTTTCTTTCAACGACGGAAAAGTGACAAATGCCATTCACATCACAAATTGAGTTCACTATTCAGTGAGAAAACAATGTGTACTTTTATTTATTATGTTGTGAGACATTTCTGTGTTTAAAATATTCGCAGATCTGTGTATAAAATGATGAAGCATCGATGGTACCTATTTTGTTCCTTTTTGCGGTATCCTGATCACAACGTGCCGATATGTCCCACTCTGACAGTGACAGTTGTATTCGAGTTATCATGGAATGTGTGAATGTTTTTTCGGGAGATGAATTGGTGATTTCGGAAGAGAACAAATGAACCCCATTCGTGACCAACTCGTGTTATTCCGGGACAAGCCGAATATGCGACTCGTGGCCATTTTTGCGACCGGGATCCGTCTTAGCGCAAACGGGCATACCTAAAACAATTGTCAACTCGTTGCGTTATGGTTCACATATATTTCCCCATATATTATATATATTTAAGATGCAATTTAAAGCACATGGGGACGTGCGGAATTATACAGTGTGATTGAACACATTTAAATGTGTCTTGGTAATAATCTTAGATGCAAGACATGTAAAATCAAAAATTATTTCTGATGGATTATTTGACAAAGAACTCGAAATCATACGCGCATTCTGATTGGTTTGTCGTATTTTCGCACATAACATTCATCGATAGGGGGGGACGAGTCTTCTTGCAGGTCACGGAAAGGGGCGAGTGGTGACGAATGAAATGAACCCCTACCTGTGACCGACAACAGTGGCGGAAATAATCAGGATGGTCCCCATCATGGACGCATTGATTACAAGTGATTGCAAGCCCAAGATTGTTTCGGGTGGTCAGGCTCGCTGACTTGGTTGAGGCATGTCATCGTATCCCAATTACGTGGATCGATGCTCATTATGTCAATCACTGGATTGTCTGGTCCAGACCGATTATTTACTGACCGCCCTCATATAGCTGGAATATAGCTGAGTGCGGCGTTAAACGGCGTTAGTATATTTTCGCCAAATCATAGTGGTTGTCTTGAAATAGCACAATTAAGATGGCGCGACATGTCACAGACTCTGAATTCGTGTCTATCGCTTAACGTGCTGCATTACATTATACATATCGCTGAACGTGCTGCATTACATTATACACATGGCTGAGTGTGTTGTAATACAGCTGGGGCACAGCTTATACTGCAGTTACATGTTGCTGTGAGATGGGTAACCTCCCAAAACCCCTACATCCCATTTCCCCTACAGCTTAAGACAACAAAGTTCACGGTCCATGGCACTGATAATCCCTAGTCTGTTACCTATTTCATACAATGGAACAACCCAAGAAACACGAATAGATTGTGATAAATATTTAATTACGATTACGATATTATTCAAAATTCATAATACATTATAATAAAATGTTCATTTTTCAAAATTCATAATACAGCGCTACGTTGACATTTTCGCATTTTTTCTTGGCCATCGTATTGTACATCATACTGGCTAAATAATAATGTAAGAAACATCTATTACTATTTTTCATGATTATTGCACTTTAACAGGGCAAACTGTTATTCGTGAATGACGTGATAAGATAACCGCTTTTAATTCTCTTATCGAAGTTGAAAATAAACCATGGATAGCACGTTGTTAGGATACGGAAGCCTAGTAGGGCCACAGTGGAAAGAATTTTTGTCTAAGTATCTCCTACGTAGGACTTAGTATGGCCTAGAATCACTATCTCCTATGTACGACTTAGTATCTCCTGCGTAGGACTTAGTATCTCCTACGTACGACTTAGTATCTCCTGCGTAGGACTTATTATCTCCTACGTAGGACTTAGTATCTTCTTCGTAGGACTTAGTATCTTCTTCGTAGGACTTAGTATCTCCTACGTAGGACTTAGTATGGCCTAGAATCACTATCTCCTACGTAGGACTTATTATCTCCTACGTAGGACTTAATATCTCCTACGTAGGACTTACTATCTCCTACGTAGGACTTACTATCTCCTACGTAGGACTTACTATCTCCTACGTAGGACTTACTATCTCCTACGTAGGATATACTAAGCCCTACGTAGGAGATACTTAGACAAAAAACATGTTCACCGTGGCCCCACTACGCTTCCGTATTAGGATCACATCAAGTCTTTGTGGTTATTCCAATTGTGAAAGAATTATAGCAAAGCCCTGTTTTTGGCTTCGGTTCAATTGTTCATACGGAAGGTCAATGGTGCTGGAGATCGACTCCAAAAAAAGAAACCAAGTCCCGTTGCTTCAGGCAATTTGGTGTTATTATGATCACGCTAACGGTGGTCTGACTCGTCTCAGTCGCTTCTGGAATAGTAGCAGAGTATTCATTTGATAACCTCGTGGATGAAAAGGCATTTATATATTTAAGTGAAGTCAAGTTTGGTTTGTAGCATTTAAGTGGGCTTGTGTCAGTTAATTCGGTTTGAATAATATGCCAGCGTTATCACTTCTTTGAATGGCAATGAGAAGAGATACACATAAGGAAGATAATATATGGATGTCAACTTCTTTAGTATGAGGAAACACAACGTGCATGATGCACACACACACACACACACACACACACACACATACACACACATACACACACACACACACACACACACACACACACGTGCATGCACGTCGCTATATAAGTGCAATAATCTTGGACGCGACGTTAAACCCAATTTCCCCTCGCCTCACATTTTCATTCCAGTGATGTCGTCAGCGCCAATGAAAGACATGAAGAGGAAGTTGCCTCGGCCAAGTCGTTCACATCCAGCATCCCGTACATACCCAGTCTACACAGACTGGACACCGTCCCCTCGAAGAAGCATCAAGATTCCTGGTCGTCACAGAATCCTCAATTTAGGAATAATTTAGGAAATATTCCTCAGTGGTATAATACACCTTGATCATGTGAACTCTGACAAGTACCACTATGGTTTATTTTCTGTAACCATACACGAGTAGTGATGAGGCATAAGTGAATGGTCTGGTGACTACTTAGAGGTTACTCATTTGTTCCTGAAAAACATCACAGAACACATACGATGAGATACATTGTTTAATGGAAAAAATGTAAAGAATATTTTCAATAAGCACTACAAGATAATACTTTTGACGGAGAAATTAAATGCAAAAGCACATGCATAAAATACATACCTAACAGTAACATACTCTCATTGGTGACATTGAAATGCTGGGTTAAAGATTTAATATCAATTGCAATTTGTTTGTAGTTCGTGTCTTCAAAAATTGAACAGTTTACTAAATATTATCAGTCTTCCTGTCGTGGCGATATATATGTATTACATTCAAGAGTGGCGGCAACGAAACACGATACACAGGTAGTAACTTACCGAACAATCCCACAGCGTAACCTGTGCACTATGCCAAGATGTTGTTTTATCAAATTGGTCTCATTAAAAACATATATAGCTCGGTAAAGAAAAGGAGAAATGTTCTATTTATAGGACTCACCACTTGTTATCCTCGGAGGTGGGGTAAAACTAACTGGGGGAAATAATTCTTGAAGCAACACCCCACACGATATTAAGGCCATGGCATATCGAATTATAACTAAGCTGTATATAATTCCAATAAATCAGGTGGTGGGACAGAGTTGATTCAATCCAGGCAGTGACGTTTTGGACAGATGCCGTTAAACGGTTCCATCGGACGCAATGGTAACCGGTAAATGTCACCGGCACAGAGATACTATACCACACCTGCACAGATACTATACCACACCTGCACAGAGATACTATACCACACCTGCAGAGACATACTATACTACACCTGCACAGAGATACTATACCACACCTGCACAGAAATACTATACCACACCTGCACAGAGATACTAAACTACACCTGCACAGATATACGTTACCACACCTGCACAGAGATACTATACCACACCTGCACAGAGATACTATACCACACCTGCACAGAGATACTAAACCACACCTGCACAGAGATACTATACCACACCTGCACAGAGATACTATACCACACCTGCACAGACAAACTATACTACACTTGCACAGAGATACTAAACCACACCTGCACAGAGATACTATACCACACCTGCACAGAGATACTATACCTTCAGTTCAATTCATCAATCACGAACACCAATTCATAAAATAACAGCATGAAATTAACATATCAAATGAAAAGAAGGATGACACCATCGACAAATATGAGAAAAGATGAAATCTATTAATAATCCATTTGTTACTGGTTACGACGTAAATGATAAAATCCGTGCCAAATTTGAATATCCTTGTTTTATCCACGCAGCTCTACCTAACAAATCAGCTTAAATATCAGATATATGTTAACGATGCGAGAACTCTGTTCCCAAGGAGGGATTTCATCTTAATCCTTCGCACTAGTACTAATAGTATGTATACATTCAACACGATAGTAGTAAAATGAAACAAAACTGAAGATTTAGGCGTAAATAAAATCACAATACATTGTAGGCAGATCGACGATGTTCTGAAAATATGAAATAAGTCTAAATGGATCACGACAATTCAATATCAAGAACAGTCCATAATGACGTAATTGAATCACACAACAGAGACTTTACCTGATTTGATAACACATAAACATCAAGGTGTAAGTGTTGAACCGACACCACGAATCAGCACGGAGTCGTTAACACAAAGACTGTTTCCTTCACCCTAGCTAAAACCCTTATCTACCCAGGGCAAACATATAGCAGTAAAGCCTCATATCAAACCATCTTTCCACAAATGGTTCGTACAACATCACTGCCGATATTGAGGAAAGCATCTTGTTATGGTGAATTGACATTAGGTGTAGAATTTGACAAATTTCTATAAGGGTCTGTTTGTGTCGTTAATGTGTCAGCAAATATCTTCACTCTGATTATTAAGAACAGGTCATTACCTAATCTGACCAAACACCAGTAAATATCCCAACTTTCCCTATGACAACATCTTAGACATAAATAGGATTTTACTCACTCTTTTGATTGACCAATAAAACTTGGTTCCTAATATGGAACTGTCCACAAAACAAATATATATTCTGAAGCATGATATCATCACAAAATTGATTTTCTGGCACAATGTTTTAATAAAAGCGGTTAAAATACCCAGATGAAAATGACAGCAATGATTCGCTAAGTGTAAATACCTGTAGTGACCACATTTGTTAAGCAGTAAGCTATAAAAGTAATATAAACTCAAGAAGTTTACGTTTTACATATCTAGTACAGGTGTGACTTGGTACAGTTTGGTTTATACATGATTGTTGTCGACACGATGGTCCTCACTCCCTTGTGCCTTGGCTGCTGTCAGAGACTGCTGCAGGTACTTCATGAATCTGTGGACGTCTTCAAAAGAGCAGAAGATGGGGACGGGTGCGATGCGGATGACACGAGGAAGACGTTTGTCACACTGAAATGGTACCGAACACTGATCTCTCACCTGAGGTTGTTTCAAATTCTATTTTGCGTTTACCCGTAACATATCGTACATAATATCACTCAAGATGGACATTACAACGACACAGTGAGTATGAAATGTAAATGAATAAGTGAGAAGTGTGTGAACTAGTGAGAAGTATGACCTAACGAGGAACAACTGTGTAAATGAATAAGTGAGAAGTGTGTGAATGAATGAGGAGAGTGTGACTGAATGAGAAGTGTGTGAACTAGTGAGAAGTGTGACCTAACGAGGAAGAACTGTGTAAATGAATAAGTGAGAAGTGTGTGAATGAATGAGAAGTGTGTGAATGAATGAGAAGTGTGTGAATGAATGAGAAGTGTGTGAATGAATGAGAAGTGTGTGAATGCGTATTACTAAGCATTTCGTGAAGGAGGGAGGAGTGCGACTTAACGAGTGAGATGTGTGTTAATGAGTGAATGAGAAGAGTGTATATGAATGCGAAGTGTTTGAATGAATGAGAAGTGTGTGAATGCGTAAAAATTGTGTAAAGAAGGGAGGAGTGTGTTTATGAGTGAGAAGAGTGTGAGTGAGTGAGACGTGTGAGTAAGAAGTAGGTAAACGCGTGAGATGTGTGTGAGAAGAGTGTGAGTGAGTGAGACGTGTGAGTAAGAAGTAGGTAAACGCGTGAGATGTGTGTGAGAAGAGTGTGAGTGAGTGAGACGTGTCAGTAAGAAGTAGGTAAACGCGTGAGATGTGTGTGAGAAGAATGTGAGTGAGTGAGACGTGTGAGTAAGAAGTAGGTAAACGCGTGAGATGTGTGTGAGAAGAGTGTGAGTGAGTGAGACGTGTGAGTAAGAAGTAGGTAAACGCGTGAGATGTGTGTGAGAAGAGTGTGAGTGAGTGAGACGTGTGAGTAAGAAGTAGGTAAACGCGTGAGATGTGTGTGAGAAGAGTGTGAGTGAGTGAGACGTGTCAGTAAGAAGTAGGTAAACGCGTGAGATGTGTGTGAGAAGAGTGTGAGTGAGCACACCTCCAGGATTTCTTATGTATTGAATTCGGACTGGCACCAGCTAAAACGAAGATCTGGCTAAACATAGTTAAACCTGCAAACTTAGACCGCCTGTGTTAAGGCATGGACGTATGCACTGCTGTACCACTAAGATCGCATTGTGGAACACAAGCCAGGGCATCCTTGACTGGAACACAACAGCCAGGATTGTTTCCCGTACTTCACGATCTGCACACACAACAACCGTGCTGCAATCTCTCCACTGGCTGCCTCTAGAATCGCGACCCATTTCAAAGTCCTCCGTCTCACCTAGAAGAGCCTTAATTCTGCTGCCCCAAATTATCTCTCCAAGCTGCTTTCTCAGTTAAAACCTACGAGAACTCGCTGATCAGAAAACCAGATGGCCCTTCAAGCCCCTTACCAAAGACTGAAGGCACAGAGAACAATGGGGAGTCGGACAACTTGGTACTTTGGGATGCAAGCGTGACATTTCGAAAGAGAGGTCTGCATATTTGCCATGTTTTTCTTCAATGTTGTCAATCACATTACTGTCAAAAGGGACAGAAAATTCAATGATATAAATGATTTCATTGGATTTATCAAAAAGGACAAGATCAGATTTTTTGGCCTGGATATGCCTGAGGTTGTAAATAGACCTATTCCATAGGATTTTATATTTATCATTTTCCATTACGCCCTCTACATATTCCGGGTCGTACCATGGATAGACCTCTGTGTCAAAACCACAAGCATGGCGAAGACGGTAATAAAATGACTGAGCCATCCCATCACGTCGCTTAAGATACTGTGTCTGTGCCAAAGCTGGGCATCCACTCACAATGTGTTGGACAGTCTCATTAAATTCATTACATAATCTACATTTCTTATTCACATTTGGATGCAAAATCACACATTGACGGTTTCGAGTTGGAAGTGACTGGTCCTGAGCAGCAAACAGAAAGCCTTCTGTTTCACTTTTCAGGCCAGACGACTTCATCCAAGCGAAGGACTCTGCAGGATTGCTGATCTTCTCAACACACTGCACATAAACTCGATGCAGTGGTCGTTCAGAAAGCCTCTCCTTAAAATAATTAAAAACTTGAGTCTGGGCCGATTTGATATGGCACTTCGCTTGGTTGACACTCATTTCTGTACCGTCCAGCAGTACAGAACCATCAACAAAATCAACACCGACATTGAGATTATGTCCCACATACTTGGCTCGTTTTAGAAAACTGTGGAATGCCTTGTTTTCATGAGTCTTGACATGCTTCACAAGAGGATCATCAAACAAATAAATGTGTGCAAGAGTGCACAAAACAATTCTATCATGAAGAGCCTCCACATTAATCAAACCACGATAAACTATTATCATTATTATCATTATTAGTATTAGTAGTAGTAGGATGATGATGATGACGATTATTATTATTGCTATTGTTATTATTGTTATAATGATGATGATGATGATTGTTATTATTATTATTATGGCTCCACGTACGCCAAGTTAATTAGTGAATGACGTTTTAAGCCGTCATTGATCCGCTAAACCGCTCTGGCCTGATCCTTTATCCAGTCCCTATAAGTATCGGTAACTGAACACCATAAATACTACTTGTTATATCCTCCCCATGGAGCTGAGAATGCATGTGATTGCTCTCTGATACATAGCCCGGATACTAATATGTCATGCTCTCTGACGTGCAAATGTCATATATGGTTAACAGTTAACTATTATATCTTATGGTATAACTGAATCACTTCAACATATAGAACGAAGTTTATACTCACAGAAACACCACGCTTGTACAGTTCATCAATAACGCGATGAATATTGACATTGAATGCAAGTGATAACTGGGCCCCTCGCTGTTCAGGGTCAGATGGGGTCAGTATATCAACGTACACTTCATCAGGATCCTCTGCCTTTTCAACTGGGCGGCCATATTGTTTTTTTATCAACATCTCCAGATACCCCGTAAGTAACAAGGATTTCTCCCTCAGAGCAGGCATGGTGGCTTTGTTATACAACTGGAAGCAGATATGAAATGGAGGTAGTACTGGCCTCTTTCAGACCAACCAACCGGATCTGCATATTCTAAGAAATGAGCAAAGCAATTAGAAATCGCCCAGAAAGGCATCAGCTGTGTTCATTTGAACACAAAGACTGCACATTTTAACATTGATGTTTTGTAATAATAATAAATAATGTATGGTACAGCAAAAATGTGTCAAAAGGTTAGTCTTAGAGATGTTACGGAGGAGTTCTTATGTTAGCATACCTAAGTATTTGATCATGTCAGAAAACCTGGAAGCGAAGGAAAGGAAATAGGCAAGCTACCAGCCATTCGAAAATAATTTCTGATATTTTTCATGAAAATATTTCCACGTTGCTTGTAACTTCAGCATTTGGCATCTCCAGAGGGACAAAAATGCCATTGTCCCACCTCGTCCTTCAATTGCAACTAACGTGAAGGAAACATGTATGACTAAAATTCAAAACATTCTCAAATGCATTGGTCACATCTTCTTGGCTTTTGTATATCTATGTGATGTTTCCAACATAAATATACATTAATAAATGTCTGACAGGGGTTGTGTACAGGGGGTGGCTTCAAAATGCGTCCATAAGTTAATATATATCACTATATGGAGACAAACATCACCACGGAGACAAACATCGGGCATGGGGCACCAGGGGCCTACTCTACTGGGAATTCACCACGGAGACAAACATCGGGCATGAGGCACCAGGGGCCTACTCAATTCAGAATTCACCACGGAGACAAACATCGGGCATGAGGCACCAGGGGCCTACTCTACTGGGAATTCACCACGGAGACAAACATCGGGCATGAGGCACCAGGGGCCTACTCTACTGGAAATTCACCACGAAGACAAACATCGGGCATTAGGCACCAGGGGCCTACTCTACTGGAAATTCACCACGGAGACAAACATCGGGCATGAGGCACCAGGGGCCTACTCTACTGGGAATTCACCACGGAGACAAACATCGGGCATGAGGCACCAGGGGCCCACTCTACTGGGAATTCACCACGGAGACAAACATCGGGCATGAGGCACTGGGGCCCATTCTACTGGGAAATCACCACGGAGACAAACATCGGGCATGAGGCACCAGGGGCCTACTCTACTGGGAATTCACCACGGAGACAAACATCGGGCATGAGGCACTGGGGCCCACTCTACTGGGAAATCACCACGGAGACAAACATCGGGCATGAGGCACCAGGGGCCTACTCTACTGGACATTCACCACGGAGACAAACTGTTTTTCCTCCAAATCCCCAGGGGTCGCGCAGGCGTCGATACGTTCCACGTACGGCACGCGTGTTTTTTCAAACACTATACACAATGACAGTACGTTCTGTACACCTGAACTTGTGCCATACTGTCTGGTGTGTTGTTATTTACCTCTAGACTTGCTTTCAGCGACGGCAACAACATCCCTGCAGGGTTGGAAATACGGTAGCCATATATTCCTGGGGAAATATCCATATCTGTGAAAGAAATAACGTCAATAAGATCAGCCCATGCTGGGCAACAACCTTAAGTGCTCATTGGAACATGTCGCAGGAACCAGGCCGTGGTTTGGGTCATTGGTTAAACATGGTGACAACACTGCAAATTCACGGGTTGATGGATGAACGTAGTGCCTACAAAGTATTGTCGATGGCTATTGCACAATATAAATTGATTTTGGAGCATCGTTATTAACCAAAGATCATTTAAAGTGACGCAAAGCACAGCTACCTACAAGACTATTCCCCTATTCATTTGAGATATTCTTTTGGAACCCTGTCGTATGTGTTATATTTCTGCTGCATTGTTTCTAATTACCATTGTCCATGACAAATCTAGTGTCCAGATTGTGTCCCCACCAACCAAGCAGTTTTGGGAAGTCGTTCTTTTCGTGTTTCTTGTGCAGGAAAGCTCCTCCAATACTTCCAGCTCCCGCGCTCAAGTACTGAAAGACGAGTACCAAATGGATGATCAATCAGACAAGTTTGATTGAAATAATAATAATGATAATGATAATAATAATGTGTGTGATTTTGCATGAGAATGTAAATATGAAATGTAGATTATGCAATGAATTTAATAAGACTGTCCAACAAACTGTTAGTAGATGCCCAGCTCTGGCACAAACACAGTATCTTAAGCGACATGGTGGAGTGGCTCGATTATTTTATTACCGTCTTCGCTATGCTTGTGGTTATAACACAGAGGTCCATCCATGGTACACCATGAATATGTAGAGGGCGTCACGGAAAAATAATACATACAAAATTCTTTGGAATAGGCCCGTATACAGCCTGAGACCTATACAGGCAAACAAACCTGATCTTGTCCTTCTTGAAAAATCCAATGAAATCATTTATATTTATATTGAATTTTCTGTCCCTTTTGACACAAATGTGATTGACAAGATTCAGGAAAAACATGGCAAAAATGGTTTCGAAACGTCATGCTCGCATCCGAAGTTGTCTGGCTCCCCATTGTTCTCGATGCCTTAGGTTTGGTACCTCCCAATCTGTTGACTGACATTGGGAGAGTACCCGGGTTTACTACCAGGAATACAACCCTTCTGACAATCTGGGTAATGCAAAAGGGTGCAGTGTTGGGGAGTCTTCACATTCTCCGAAAAGTTATGGGTGGGTTCGACTAGGAGAGAAGTCCTATTCGCTGTCTGGGCTGCGTGTAGAGGGGGCAAGGGCCCTGAGCTGATGATGAGCCTAGCCAGCCTGACTGTGCCAGGATCACCCAAACCCTCTTTGCTGCATTTTGTATTTTAATCTGTACATAATAATAATATACACATTCAAAACACGTCAAACCCACACCGTATAGCACAGCACCAAGAGGAGTATACAAACCAAGCTGTTCGAGAGGCGCTATATAATGTTAACAGCCACATTCCCATCTCACTGGGTACCCATTCAATGCTGGGAGGCATATTTCGAACAACGTCACTTGCTCGAGGAGACACCACATAAGCAACATGTGCGTCAGTTAGTAGAACGTGACATAAACAATAACAGGTTAACTGGGAGGCCTGCAAGTTTGGTCCAAAACTATCAAACACCATTGTTTTGTAGGCTAGCTCGAATTTTTAGATTTAAATGTTTAAGGGTAACTGTGTTACACAAGAACAATATCTTAATTTGACACACAATTTTATGGATCATTGATGATATCATTATAAAAGAATTAAACCACGACAGGGGACCACAATAACTGTAAGAAGTCAAATTAGTCTGTGTTGCGTGACTTTTCAAATCAAAATGAGTGAATGTTGTTTTACGCAGCAGGCAACAATATTTCAGCTGTCTGGCCAGGCAAAAACGTAGTTACAACCATCTGACACGATCAACACCACGGGTCATGTGGACCACAATCAGCCTAGTCACTCATCGTAACCACCTGACCCCTGAAGATTCGGGGTAGAATAGGTCTTCAGCAACCCATGCTTGCCGTAAAAGGCGACTATACTTGTAGTAAAAGGCGACTAACGGGATCGGGTGGCTGACTTGGTTGATGCATGTCATCGATCCCAATTGCGTGGATCGATGCTGATGATGTCAATCACTGGATTGTCTGGTCCAGACTCGAATATTTACAGACCGCCGTCGTATAGCTGGAATATTGCTGAGTGCGGCGTTAAACAACAAAACAACCAACCAACCAATCGTGACCACCTCGTTATTTAGGTAATAGGGTACTTTGCCCAGGAATACACCCGGGGTGATCACGCAAAGTGAAGAGGATTGCCTGTGTTACCTTGTAAGTGCACCAGCAAGCGAAGTCCACCCCCCAGTCATGGAGATGAAGCTCGACGTTGCCCGCAGCATGAGCTAGATCCCATCCCACATAGCAACCCTTAGCCTGCCCGGCCTTGGTGATGGTGGGTATGTCAAACAGCTGGCCTGTGTAGTACTGCACACCGGGTAGACAGATCACCGCTATTGAGTCCCCTTCTTTCTGGATCCTGGACACTATGTCTTCTGTGCGCAGGGTAGTCTCCCCCTTGAACAGCAAACGTTAGGACTTGTAATGAAATGAGTGAATTCGGTTTAACGCAGCATTTAACATATTTCGGTACTATCTGTTTGGCGTGAGAGAAAAGGACAAAGTGATGAAAGTGATGACGTTTTCAACTTAATGAAACTTAATGAAACCAACGAGAACGGGTATGGTGTTGTCAAACCAACAGTGAAAATTAGGACGAGGTTAAAATTCGAATCCCCGATCATAGAGTTCTGGCACGAATAAATTTAAGTGGAACAATGCGACAATTTCAGAGAATCGGAAATCGTAGCAGAGCTCCAATTTGTCTAAAGTCAACGTAATGTAGTGTCGGTGAGCCTTCAATAACACCATCGCTACAAACAATGACGTTGTGTGGTGGCCTCACCTGTCTGGGTTCCAGAAGGACTAGACTTTCAGCTGGGTCGTAACCATGGAGCCTTATTTGACTTTCAAATGCATACTGAAACAAAAGAAATCAAAGCTGATACAGTGACACCGATGCATGTGGGACTTCATTTCAAGATCAACTTGACTGCTTCCCTGGTCTGGAGGATACAGAAGCTGGAAACCTTTCCAGTAGGGAGGTGATTCCATCCCCGCTCGCGTAATTCCAAGTTAGAATATGGAACTTGTTGTAACTCTGTTACTCTGTCTGGCACTCGACATTAAGGGGATGAAACAAGGGGGTCCAGACATTTCCCCGAATGGACATTTCACAACAGGACATTTCCCCACTCAAGTTGGACATTTTTTCCAGAGGGTGTTTTCTTACATTACTATTCATTAAAAGAGGATATTGGAAATAATATAGACTGATTCGTGATCTTACTAGTCACCGGGTGTGGCCCATCTTCCCGAAAGGCAAGGGAGTTGACTGACTTTTGTGGACTGATCTCATTTGGGTTCGTAATTTTGACAATTGCTCATTGAGCATGCTGGGTATTGGTGCGTGTGGATACCAAAGCTAACAGTTTATTATTAGAGGGAAATGGTAGTGAATGCTTGATACTAAGATCTTCGTGTACCTTTCCACTCGTATATACGAGGTAAAGTAAGACAAAAAATGTTGTCAGAAAGCGAAGCGCTGTGGGAAGGAGGTCACTCAAACAGTTCATGCATTCTATGTCAAAGAAGATCAGACTTGGTTAAAATCCGTCGAGAATTGTCCATTTCCGGAAAATTTCTGCACTCTGAAACAAGAACCTGCGGGTCTGAGTCGGTATACAGTGTCTGAGTGGGATAACCATGGTAAACTGCGGCATGGCATCTCAGTAGACTTGCACTATGAAACCGGCATTAGTCCTGTTGGTTAACATTGAAATAATGATACAATATTACGATTTGAGTTGCAAGTTGCTTTTTTAAGCTTGCTAATGACACACATTTGGATTTTCTTATTTTTGTGTGTGAATGCGTGCTGTAGTCTGGTCGATTGAAAGAAGTGGTTTAATAAGATTCGATGCCTTTATTTCTTCTGGACTCTACATAATTTGTAATACATTTATTGATAATATAAAATATGTGGTATTCCGCATGGCATTGATGACAAATCCCCCGGCCCCAACAAATTCTAAGGAACAAATCATCTGACTGTTACTCTAAGTCCAACTTGGTAAGAGAAATCTTTTCTAATCTGTCTATCGGTATACAAGTTTATTCCTTGAGCTATCAGAATACAATTATGGAACTTTGTATTTCTTGTCATTACAAGAATATGAATACAGTCAAAGTCAAACCACAAAAATATGAATTCTAAAACTCCCTAAATAGCAACATGCACCAGTTGAGAACCTGGGTCCCGTTCTACAAAGCGATCTTAGCGCTAAGTTCCCTGCTTAATACATGTACCAAGTTTGGATGAAAAATGTTGAATAGTTTTTTTTATAATTACCTACCTTCGTTTTTGCTTAGTCTGACTTGTTTCCATGGAAACCGGAAATTCGTGCAGTACGTACTAACGGTGGGGCCAGTTTAGATGTCAATCGTAAATACTGTGGCGTCATAAAACAATAACTGACGCCACATGCTTCCATGAAAACTAATTCAGCCTTGTTTTCAGAATGCAAAGAAAACACAACAACATCGAAGTATTTATCAAACACTATATATATTGGATGCCAAATCACGTGTTTTTCAATTTTAAAATATCATACATATCATAACAATTATTCAGAAGATTTCCGCGCTTCAAATCCTATTTAACAAAGTTTTTCAACCAATCAGATTGCAGCACACATGATGCTCATGATGTCAGTTACTGGATTGTCGGGTCCAGTCTCGATTATTCATAGACCGCCGTCATATAGCTGGAATATCGCTAACTGTGGCGTTAAACAAACTAATCTCAACCACACGTCTTCCTCAGTCAGGACGGACCGCCTCCGTGGTCTAGAGGTAGAGCATCCACCCGGAGAGCGGAAGATCCAGGATTCGATACCCAGCCGCGTCATACCAAAAGACGTTAAAAGATGATATTTGTTGTTACCCTGTCTGGAGCTCGGCACGAAGGGGCTAAAACAAGAACTGGTCGGCTCGGAGTCAGTATACTGTGTCTGAGTGGGGTATTCATGTGAAACTGCGGCATGGTATCTCAGTGTGGTAGCACTATAAATCGGCATCAGTACGGACTGGGACAAGCAGCCACACACACACGTGCATGCACGTCGTTATATAAGTGCAATATCTTGGACGCGATGTTAAACCCAATTTCACCTCACCACAACACAGTCAGGGCGCTAACGCGTAACCGGGTATAACGCGAACACATTCTTCCCATGGGAGTCGCCTTGTATATATGCACACATGAACACACAAAATACACGAATTCCATCTCAACAAGTGCTATTATCAAACTATAATCACATAAAATTATCTGAAATAAATTCCTACACTGTATATGCATGGTGGCTGATTAGGGTTTATGAGTGCGTTTGTCTCACTAACTTCCGCTATCGTATTATTTGATGTTCAATATTAATCTACGTACCCGCTTTTCTTTATTTCACAAGGGGCGACTGAGCAATATCGCCATATCGATATGTCCCTGTATCGCATTGCCATATCGCCTTTACGCTTCATCGCCATGTCGCAATGTCGTGTCGTGTTATCGCAATATCGCGTAGCCTTGTCGCGATATCGCGTAGATATCTCAAGGCGATATGGCGATGGCCCTAATCAGTAACAATAAATATGCACACCCACTGATTTTTCACAAAAAAAATGTTGTATTCAAAATTTTAATTCATTAAACAGCGTTAGAAAAACAAACAATTACTTATACTCACGTGATCAGATGGAAATGACTTGCTTTCGCACATAATCTTGTGTCTTGTGGCATTTGGTCGGTAAAATGAGATCTAGACAAAGAATGAAATCAATCAGGTCAAAACATTGTCATCAACCTAACGGGTGGAACACCAGGCTCTGTGGGTCAATAGTCCGAGACCAACTAGTACTGGCATGCCTGGTGGAAAGTATATAACCCAATTTTACCTTTCTGTCAATGTTAGTGTATTTGAGTGGGTGAGCGAGGGAGTGAGTTGGCTTAATGTTGGAGGAAAGACGAAATTGACGCAGGTCTTGGACGTTTTCCAAATGTGTTGAAACTCGCGTTTTGACTAAACAGGAATTGGTTCTGTTTGGTTAGTTTTAGCATATTTTATCCTCATTAAAGGAATTGGGCACATGCCACCACAATTTAGATCGCCGTCTCCAGATTTGCATGTGTGCTTATTTACAATTATAATACACTAAATGACAGAAAGGAATGAAAAGTTAGAGAGATACGTACATAACATTGCTCACCCAAACCTATCTGTTTCCTATATATACACATGCACGTTCCTCAAGATCAGGAATCAATCAGAGTCTTCACGTGGAATCGCTCGCCCAACCGTGTCCCTGTGTATTTTAATAGTTCTTTTCCAATGTAGACTTACCAGCAATAAATGAAGATTCACGGTCAATCCGTTCATGAGAGCAACTTCGCCATGTTGGCCTCCTGGAAAAGGATGAACATGAAAAGGCATTAAGTGAGTGAGTGAGTGAGTGAGTATGTTTTTACGCCGCTTTTAGCAATATTCCAGCAATATCACGGCGGGGAACACCAGAAATGGGCTTCACACATTCTACCAATGTCGGGATTCGAACCCGGGTCTTCGGCGTGACGAGCGAACGCTTTAACTATAGGCTACCCGACCGCCCCTAAAGGCATTAAGTAAGGATAAGACACGTGGATGAACAACTTATTTATTACAATCAGGAGCGACGTGTCGGTGCAGGTTCTAACACCGTTATCAAGCTAGTGATGTACAGAGTATGATTGACAAGTATTTATACAGGTAGGAGGCAGTGTTGTACAGTAGAGTAGATTTAAGATGTAGTTACACTGAAGTGGAGAAGCCTGTTATGTACCGGTACACAAAAGGATAAAGATAGAGACTGCTGAAGTCAGTCGCTCCTAATTGTAATAAAGAAGTTGTTCATCCATATATCGTATCCTTACTTAGTGAGCGAGTATGGTTTTACGCCGCTTTTTACAATATTCCAACAATATCACGGCGGGGGACACCAGAAATGGGCTTCACACATTGTACCCATGTCGGGAATCGAACCCGGGTCTTCGGCGTGACGAGCGAACGCTTCAACCACGAGACAACCAGATCGCCCCTCTTACTTAGTACTCCAACTTCTAAATGCCACTCAAAGAAATGAAGAACCATGCCTCACTGTTTGCCTTATTCAGACCTGTTCTTACAACCCCGATGGTCAGCGAGAGAAGCAGGTTTTGTGAGTGAGTGTGAGTGAGTTGGGTTTAACGCCGCTTCTAACAGTATTCCAGTTATATCGCGGCGTGTCAGCTTAATGTGGGAGGAAAGCCCGAAGTTATGCAGGCCTCAGACGTTTACCACTTCGGTGAAACCCACGAGCACGGGTATGGTGCTGACAAACCTAGAAACATAATCGGGGCCAATCGGGATTCGAACCCAAAATCATAGGTTTCTGGCGTGCCCAAGGGACGCAACTCTGCACAGCGAATCTCGGAGCCTTAGACGACTGGGCCACCCGTGCCCCGGAGCAGGTTTTGCGAACCACAACGGGCTCATGCAACGCCTATTGGTGTCGGGCTACATGGAACAAAGTTTAACATTCCTGACTTTCGAATGAATGAATATTGTTCAACATAATTTCAGTCTTATAAAGGCGGTCTGTACATAACTAAGTCTGGACAGGGAAAACAAAATGGTTGTGGCATAAACAACGACCAATGCCGTTTCGACAAACAGTATTTAACATTCAGCTCTGCTAAAAAAACAGCACACGTTAACTCTTCAAAACAGAGACATGAGTGGTGAGTCATGTGCTTTTATAAATCACAATAACATAATTAAAAACATCACAATTTATTTGGTGTTTAAGTAATATATATTTGACTGTGCCTACCTACAACCTTGGCCATGTCGCCATCAACGCTCTCATCACAACTAACCCAGGGCATCTCGCCGTGTTCGTGGCCGTAGATGGCACTGAAATAGGAGTGTGTCTCATGTGTACATTTATTGCACGATTATATCCCAACCTGTACAAAAGACCTAGCTGCTTTAGATAATTATTAGCCGCTCAATTCAGAATTGCGAGAGTTAGGAGTGCTTTCGAAAACGCCATTTAAACACGCGCTAAAAAGATGAAATACATATGTTGTGATTATGATAAATAAGGATATTGCTGATTTTACAACGACACACGGACCATCATTAGATGTTTAAAATAGGGGCGTGTTATCGCCTATAGATCTGTGGATGATATGTATAAACTTCATATTAATCACCATGTAATCAATGTAATCTTTCACAGGAAATTTGTCATGAATAACATGAGAAAACGTTAGTGCTACTTTGAGAATAATTAAACCCCGAGAATGTCCCTCCAAATCACCGTTCCGGGAAATGACAAAGGTTTGAAATCACATGTCTGAAATAAAGACAGTTGATTTGACAGGGGCGTACGAGTCCATCTTGATTATTAAAGGAGCTTCAGAATCCTCTTAGACTTACATTTTGGACCATTTTTCTAACTGTGTCATCATATACTCTTCTGTCTTCTTGGGGCAGAGACCAAGAGAGTGGCCGACAAAATAAACACAGTCATCTTCAGGGTCGACTAGCGACTGGTCAACTACAAACGATACAACCAAGGACATGTTTACGAACTACAGAACATTGAGTGTATTACATCTCACTGTATCATCTTTAGAAACATCATATTTCAACAAAAGTAGGAGTTTGCCTCGATGTGTCACCGCAAACACAGTACAATGATAACTTGACAATATCCAGACTATTATACTTACTGAAACGAAGCATTTCTATAACATGTAAACATGTAAAACTGTTTCAATGACGCGCAAAACGATCTGATACAAAACCTAGTAAATCAAGATTTAGTGAGTGAGTGAGTTACTTTAGCATTATTCCAGCAATATCACAGAAATGGGCTTCACACATTGTACCCCACATTGGGAATCGAACCCGGGTTTCGGCGTGACGAGCGAACACTGTAACCACTAGACTACCCCACAGCCTACTTACTGTTCATGTTCGCTCGTCACGCCAAAGACCCGGGTTCGATTCCCGACATGGGTACAATGTGTGAGGCCCATTTCTGGTGTCCAACGCCGTGATATTGCTGGAATATTGCTAAAAGCGGCGTAAAACCATACTCACTCACTCACTCACTTACTCTTCATAGTGAATCGTACTTCCGATATACCGATTTTCGTTTTATTGAGTATAGCTAAGGAGTAATGACCTTTGAACATGCATGTAGATGTTCCAAACACTAATCGTTCGTACGTATGTCTGGATTAACAGGGTTTCACAGGAATGTAATTCAATTTGCAATTTCGAATACATTCCTCTGAGTTCGGGAATTACTAAAGCGCGGCTGTTCGCTGTAGTGATCCTTGAGAGGTCAAAGTGTTATAACTTCTACTTCTACTTACCAAAAATCATGTCTTTCATTTTGGGATAGTGGAATTCTTTCCTGAAAGCTTGAAGTTCATCCTTTTCGTCCATGAATTTGGCAAACCGCTCATCCGTCACTTGTAGACCAGCCTCAACAGCAAGGGTAAACAGACGTTCTGACGGGCTTTGCTTGGACATTGTTGATGGACTAAAATAAGAGTTTTCAGAATTAACAATAATGAATAAGAATGAATTACAGGCATGGTGAAACAAAACGTTTGACCATGCAAGTTACCATGCATATACTGATCATGATTCTAATGCTAGACGCCATACCCCTGAACGCTACCGTCCAAGGGGATGCTGGGGTATATCATGTATACACGGGGACTAAACCACCACGACTCGGCCGCGAAGGTCGGTGAATGACCGACTCGGCCGCGAAGGTCGGTGAACAACCGCAAGGAGTTGACAACGCACTCCCTGAATAAAAGTAGACCGTGGTTACATGACCAGACAACGAATATGTACTACGCCATTGTAACTCCACTCGCTTGGTGAGAATATGCCATGGGTCACGGCAGTATATTTGTGTATTGTCTTGCTCACTGGGGACCAAAATGCCCCAACACAAATGTCCGTTATTGAAAACATAGGTTTTTTGGTATCATCACAAATCATAAGAAATGATAAAATGGTACTAAGACACCTTGCTGGGGGTCAAATAACTGTCTGGCCTCGATATAGGGAATTGGCTATTGGGAGCTAGCCTTGAAACAAGAGAGGAGAGAGCTGTGAGGTCCTTCGGGTTTATTCAAGCAAGTGTGCCGTGGACCAACACCCAAGGAGTTATATACCCCCACAGCTATACATGTATCACATTAACAATTACTTTGATGTTGTAATTTCCGTCTGTGTTATCTGTCAAAGTTGACTACACAAAACAGGTGGTAATAGAACAGTTTCAGTATTGCCTAACAAGTGTTGATTTTTATTACAGTTTTAGATGATGGTCAAAACCTGTGCCAGCTGGTAGGAAAACATTATCAAGAACAAAGGCCGGTTCGGACGAACCCGCCGAATTTATCTTTGATTACGTAATTTATTTGCCAGCCGTCATGGCCGACCAGTGGCGACAAAAACGAGAAATACTGGACTAGCGACTTTCGAATTTTAGAATTTCCTTGGTTAAGTTTAATTTGTGAAAAATTTAAAAAAAAGTGTAATGAAATATACACACTGCAATAGTACTGCAAAAAAGTAATAGCGAATGAATGGCCCTATCTAACATGATGCAACTTAGTTCTGAGCTTGTCAAGTTCACCTCATTGTGGAAATGTAATTTGACTCATGTGGCAACATTATTAATGAAACACTAGTCTCACCCCCCAAAAAATGTAATGTATTACAGAAAAATGGAGAACTTTTTGCTTGACGTCATATGGCTTGTTATATGTATTTCACGATTAATTACGCGAATACCATGGAAATATCCTACAGGACTGAAAGCATGACGACAAAATAAAAAGTCATAATACATTGATTTGATCGTTTTGTCTTCACGTGTCTTTTTTCCTGTTTGTGGGTTATGATAAGTTGTGGTCACAATTAAAAGTGTCCCCTCCTTTTCCAAAAACAAACATTTTTTAGGAGGACAAAGCCATCGTTCTCCCTCGCAATGGTAAATACTTGTCGTGAATAAATATATGAAACTTGTTGCCATGGATACTGGAAATTTTATATATATATTTTTTTAGACCTACATCTATCAATGTACCAAGTTGAGTGAAGTAAATTTTACGGTTGGACGCACGGTCGGAGGCACGGACGGACGGTGTCCATTTATTACTCCCGCAAAACGCGTTGCGGGATATTCCCGTATCCAGTAATATCCACACGTTCTGCAAATAAATACATGTGCTAAGACACGACATCCTGCCTGACACATCTCATGGGTAGCAAACGTCCAACGCACCGGTGATGAAAAGGAAACTGTCTCGGTTTACAGAGAAGTAAGTTTGCTGCATTTATGCTTATTATTTCCCTATTATGTTCCGAATTGTGGTACCTGTGTTTGATATGTTCATGTCAACCTGCCACAAGTACGCGAAAAGTGGCTAAATATAGTCAAACACGTTCAGCTTCGCTTTCAACCGAAGAAGGGATTTCTTAGCGGCATTCGGTGTTGGACCTAATAATAGCCGCGTGTGTGTTACCATCTGGCGGTCGCGACAACATGAGAAGAAATGTCAGTCGTTGTTCGAATTACGTTATATATACTAGTATACAACTAAGTCAACTTACTGATTGATGTCACAATCTTCCGGTGCTAGGCCTAGTATGCAGAGAAAAGTAACTTGTCAATGTCCTCACATCAACCTTGACCTTGTGTACGTGATCAATGATTATACTTTGAACAGTGCATATGACCCTATTGCGTGCTCAAGAAAAGAGGGATAAAACAGTAATGTGTGTCTAATATGTCTATAGCTAGGGGGGACTAGGACACATAGGGGCACCCTGTAAAACCAACTTGTATAGATATATGCATACACACATGGTGGTAACTTATACAGAAATAAAGATTTTTTTCAAAATAAAAAGGGGGGGTCCACACACCCTCTCTGTATCCGCCCATGCACATGACTGTTTCCCATATATTTTACGTTGGGACACCTTGTCTGTTATAATTTACAGATTATGCACGCCCATGTTTCCCCAATAATAGAAGCCACATCACAGACTTTTCCTTGTTAAGTTCGAAGCAGCAACAGGGAGAGTGTGTTACCATAAGTTTTGTGAGTACAATTTTGTCCCCACCACCTAAAAGATTTAAGGAAGAAAGATTTTTTCCTGTGATCTAGATCTAGAAATGTTTGATTAAATATTCAGTATTTCTTAATGAAGCTTTGTATTCCACAACTAGCAGGCACTGTGGTGTTTTCTATTTAGGAATATGAAAAATATTGTTTTTGCATTTCCATGGCAACAAGTTGGAGCTATAGGTTCAAATATTAATGGTATCTACCAAAAAAAGATACCATTGGCTTAAAAGGCAAGATAGGGATGAAAATAATATGAATGGATCACTGAAAATAAGTGATGACACCAGGTGTTCTTGAAAAGGGTAAGCACGTCCTGTCTGTAATAGATTTGACAACAAGCATGGCGGTTTCATATAATGTTAACAACGTCATCAGATTTGGTACATTCGTGTTACGTCATCACTTCTGTACATGTGTATGATGTCACAATTGACGACACAGTTAACCCTTTATCTTACACTGTACGTCCCTCCACTCATAATTTGCATCAAAAAGTGTTTGTTGTCCAATTGCACCAAGTAATAGATATTATAGTCTATCTATAATATAATTACTATAGTCTATCTATAATATAACTTCATAATTGCACCCGAGTTTGGCAAGGGTGGAAACTGTACTTTTAAAGTCAGTTAGCTCCCTTGCCTCGGGAAGATGGGCAGCTGAAGGAATCAGTCTTGGTGACATGGTAGATTGTTGGGGATGTTACGTCAATACTTTGAGTTATCCGAGGTTTGACACAATCGAAAATGATTAATACAGATGGAATATGCAGGGACTAATCTTTTACTTCAAGATAACCGTAAATTCGACTCATCAAAGTGACACAATGGTGTTTGACTGTAGTACTAATCAGTTGTACACACAAGGAGTAGGAGTGACAATACTAGGATAAGAGGAGGATTAAAGTACCCTGACTAATTCATGTCTTTGGACATGTTGGGAGGTATAGAAATTGATAAATACAGCCACTAGTTCTTGACTCCTGAAAACCCAGCGAGACAATTTGAGCTGTTACATCCCCAAATTTAGTTATTTTAAATGAACCACCAGTCCGAAGTAGCACCACATTCAGTTCCCATATATTTTCTCTAAATTATATGTGTGGTAATAGGTCAAAGATGTCTTTGTTCATTAACTATGTTTAATCACTGTAATTGTATAGCTGTACACAAGCATGTGGCTTGTGCCATGTGCTTGAACTCAGCAGCATTCTAGTGAGAGTTATCTCCCCTACACCATCTTTGGCTGAGGCCCTTTTAGGGTTTAGCTAATACCACATCTCCCTTTGTTAAGTCTGATAGCAAGCTGACAGTTGTCTAGCATTAAAAGCTAGTACAACTGTTGATGTTAGACTATACATCACAAATAATAATGTCCTTTCCAAGTTTGGAGTAAACATTCATTTGATCCTCAGTGTCTTTTACTAAAAACAAACAATGTAGATTTAAATCTACTGAACTGTTAACTACTAACATGAAACAATAATGTTTCTTGACTGACTACTGTTCATTTTTCTTCAAATCAAGTCTGTCAGGTTTAAGTGAAATCCTTCCGGATCTGGTCAGAGTCACATTAGGCGGTTAGTCACTGCACACTTGATGGCACATGAGGCAAGTCATTCAATGGCTGTGACTTGGCGTGTGTTTGTTGGCTGCTTTTCTGGGAGTGAGGGGACTACGATTCCTGTACAGAATGCTATCACCTGCTTTGATGTAGAATAATCTTGGCGTTTCAGCCTCCCTGTGCATTTGACTGTCATTCCACTGTCAAGCACCCTATCTGCCTCCTTTACCTGGGGAAGAATGCATGATCTGTGACTAGAGGCATAGTTCGATTTTTTATGCTGTTGGATTTTGGTCAACGACAACTTCACTTCCTGTGAAGATGGTTGATTATGCTCAAGTTGATATGTATGAACTGGGAGTGTTGTCTCCCAAGTTGCGTCCCATCAAGAGCTGTGAAGGGCTGAATCCATTCTGTAAAGGTGTACTACTATAGGCACAGAGTGCCATGTTAGGAGTGGAGGATGTCTTCAATAGTTGCTTAACAGTTTGAACCGCTCTCTAGGCCGCACAATACTCAGGGTACCTCAGGCTACTTGTGGTATGAGTGAAGAGATAGATCTAAAAAAAATTCTGAAAGACATAGGATGGGTACTGTGGACTGTTGTTGGAAATCATAGTGTCTGGAATAGCAAGTCTCGTGAAAAGAAATTTCAGATGGTTTACCACGTTTGCCTGACGAGTTTTGTTATCTTAATATACTTTGGGTAGTAGTCTACTACAAGTAAGTATGGTATGGAATCCAGTTCAAACAGGTATGTCCATGCTTCACTCCATGGGTGAGATGGAACGTCTGAAGATATTAGGTGGGTTAGGTCAGAATCACACACTCTTGACTGCATGCTCTGTCTGTCAGCTGATGCCTGGCCACCAAACTGACCTGTTTGCTCGAGCTCGGCGTCGAGTAATGCCTTGGTGAGAAGAAGGCAAAATGTCAAGCATTTTGATTCTCATGCAAACTGGTATTACCAGTCTTCCTCCCATTATGAGTAGTCCATCTACTACAGTGAGTAGTTTTGTGCACAGTCCCGCAGAGATGTGTATTTTGGCCATATATGGTTACAATATTTCGTTTCGAGTTCACATCCCAGGTCTTTACATAGTTAGAGACGTATCTCATCCAGTCGTTGATCTGTTGCAGGTAATGAAGCAAGAACAAAATAACATAGATATTTGTGTCCCTCAGAAGACAAGACTCTTGGCTTGAGAGTGGAATATCCGTCGTCGCTCTAGAGAGTGCATCTGCTGAACAGAGCTGTTTCCGTGGTATCTATGATATAGTATTGGAACATGTGGTGCATCTTGAATCTCTGTATGCGAGGTGGCAATTGTTTCCCAACAGAAAAAAAAGCAGTTTGTGGTCAGTGTTGGTTAAAACTGTTTACCTAACGAGTAGTCACGAAAACGTTCACAAGCCCAGGTAATTGCCAACGCCTCCTTTTCCACTTGTATGTATGCCTTTCTGTGTCCGTCATTGATCTAGAGCAGTAGGCTACTGCTTTATATACTCCATTGCAGTCTTTTCTGACAGAGTACTGCTGAATCGTATATAGAAAGCATCAGCTGACACACAAGTATCTGCATTTGGATCATGGTGTTCGAGTACTGGAGCAGATGACGTCCTTGATAGACTGAAACACAAAATGCTGTGGTTCTTCCCGGACGCAAGCTCTGTACTTGACAAGGAGTTCATGAAGAGGTTGTGTTTTGATTGGGTACAAACTTTGCTAGCTGATTAACCATACAGAGCGATCTCCTGATGTCTGAGACATTCTGTGGCTCCCTCATCATGTTGATGGCATGAACTTTGTCTGGGTCAGCATAAATGCCGGTGCTGGCAATTATGTGTCAAAGGAATTTCACTGTTTTCTTTGAAAACTGACACTTTTCCAGTTTTAGCGTTATGCCTGCATCATGCAATCTTCACAAGGCTGCCTCTACGTTCTGATCATGTTCGCTGTCATCATGACCATGAATCAGGACATCATCCTTCTGAGACACAACCCCATCTAGCCCTTCCAGAATCTGTTGCATTCTCTTCTGAATAAGTTCTGGTGCTGACGAGATGCCAAAGGGGAGGCGTTAAAACAATATCGACCAAAGGGTATGATGAAACGGGTAAGTAGTGAGGAATCTGGGGATACAGTCTCTTACCACTGTGCTGTAGTTTTGGAAAAGGTTTAAGCGCCTGCATCTTCCCGAGGCAAGGGAGTTAACTGACTTTGAAAGTCCAGTTTCCATCCTTGCCAAACTAGGCTGGAATTACTGGGCTCGATTGTCGTGCCACCAGTGGCTATTACCAATTATGTCCCTTCTAAGCCTCTCCTTTGGACCAATCAGATTCCACCTCTCGATCACTTGTGTTTGCTTCAAACAAAATGGTGGTGCCCAGTCAGGACGATCTGATCGATAATGAAGATCTATATTGTGAGCACCTTGATTAAAAATATAAGGATTTGGAAAATATCTGCTGACTTACGAATTGGTGATGCACATGCTTTGCAAACCCTACAATCGATCGAAATCTGCACGACAGTTTACGAACCGGATTTTGATTTCAGTGCACTATTTTGATTTGACTATGCATAGACTCGTTAGTCCAGACAAAACGTAAATCCATAATACCAGCCTAGTTCGGCAAGGGTGCATGGAAACTGGACTTTTATAGTCAGTTAACTCCTTTGCCTCGGGAAGATGAGGCACCTGAATGTCATCGGGAATGACTGTAACTTCAGCACCTGTGTCAGTCAGTCTCGATCTAGTCATGAGTTGACCTCAAGAATTACAGGCCAGGGCTGTGATAGATCAGAGCATGCACTATCAGCACTAATGGATCCAAGGAAATGTTGTTTCTGCCTCATTGGTAGCCTCACTGTTTGGCCCACGCTAAAATCGAATCTCAGATAGCCCACACCGTTGAGTTTGATTCCTGAAAACTACATTCCAGTGTCCAACTTTCCGACATTTCCGACAGGTTAATAGGACATTCTGTTCTTGGGTGTGAATCTCTACCACAGTATGAACATGTGGGTTTAGGCTCTGCATTGTAAAAAATGGACAAGGTGAAGTCTTGGGCTTAGTTTTGCCACTAGGCTTCTTGCCTTTACCTTTAGGTGGGACAAGTTCTTCAACTCTAGAACTTCCACTTGCTGTACTTGAAGACACATTGCCTCATAACAGGTTGCTGCCTGTGGATAATTTCAGATTGTCTTGCACTTGTGACAGCTTTCTGTGATGTTAATTCAGGGTCATGCTGAGGTTTTTGTAATTTGAGGTGACATATTGCAATGACAATTCTGTCTTAAATCATCTTATCATGAAGTGCACCATAATTACAGTTTTCTGCAAGAAAATAGAGATTCGTGATGAAGCTGGTTCACAGTCTCTATGTCTAGCTGGTTAAGTTTAACTTGCTCAAATATGACATTTCGACAAACGCGAAAGTACTGATCAAACTTACAACCCTTCTGTTCATCTTCAGAGAGAGTGAAAGTCGGCAAAATGCCATCAGCTTCTGCTCCCATCAGGTATATGAGCTGATTTACTTAGGTTTCTTATGTAGCAAGCTTGGAGGGGATGCGATACTGCTCTAATCGAGGGATCCATCTTGTCAGTCCCTCAGGGCTGGAGAAATCCAATGGCTCAGGAGGAGTTATTTGACAGCTTGCCATGACAAAGTCCTTCTTCTGACACCATGTGGTGATGTGACACAGATGTCTTCATTCATTAACTATGTTTAATCACTGTAATTGTAGCTGTACACAAGAGTGTGGTTCGTGCCATGTGCTTGCACTCAGCAGCATGTTAGTGAGAGTTATCTCCCCTATACTATCTCTGCCTGAGGCCCATTTAGGGTTTAGCATATACCACAGTAAGATTTGTATATTTCCTGTAATGAGTCATTTTTATACTGTTTGCTTTTGGACAGTTCATTAGTTTTAATCCAAACTTCTTTCAGATGCCATGACCTGTATTGTGGATGTTCCAGTGGAGTTTTTTTTCTCTATTGAACTGCAGCTGTTTTGTTGATAAAAGTGGTGTCATCTCAGTGAGTGCTTAGCTAACCTGAACTAGGTAAGCCTATGTTAAGGCCTTTAGTTGTCTGTCTATCTGTTGTGAACTTTCACATTTTCCACATCTCCCCTGAAACCATAATGCCCATGAAGGTGAAATGTTTCAAAGGTTACCTCATTAAGGTGTCTGCAGACATCTGATTCCATTTTGAACATGACCGCAACAGTGGCCATATTGAAAATTTGTTTTTCTCTCGGTAGTTTAGTTTTTGACTCTACAGCTACAGTTTACATATCCCTATTCCCAATATAAGCTTATTTTGTAAATAGTAACCGGGCAGTTGTGTCTTTTACATTTCAAACAGTTTCAAACATGGCAGCCACATGGAAATTTGTCATCTTTGCACATTATTCAGTCATTTTTACATGTATCATTATGAAAATGGCTTCAAATCCTGTATAAGTAACATATTTTCTTTTTAACTTCAACCCGAATGAATGTTTAAACTATTCCATTTAAATTCAGAAGATCCTTGTTTTCTTATGCCTCTATCAAATCTGTTATTAAGACATTATGACAAACAGGACGTGTTTTTAATAGGAGTGTAAAGATATATCCGACTATTGAACTATTGCAGTTGTTTGCCCTATGATAGTTCTACATTGATAGGAATTTAGTTAGAATAATAGAATTGTCAATAGTATGCATAAAACTTCATTAGTTTCAATAGTTGCAATTAGTTACAAACAATAGACCTTGAGACATATTAATATAACTTTCAAGCCTTAAAGTTGGCTTACTACTATCTGACTAAAGCAAATTTACTATTGGTATACAATTGCATAGATAAAATAGCCCCAATAGTCATCCCTAGTCATTTATATCCCTCTTGATGGACAAAGTACAGTTGATGTTTGTTCACCAGGCTAAGCAGACCGCCTCCGTGTTCTAGTGGTAGAGCGTCCGCCCGGAGATTTGCGTCAGCGTCATACCAAAAGACGTTAAAAGATGGTACTTGTTGTTACCCTGTCTGGCACTCGGCATTAAGGGGCTAAAACAAGGACTGGTTGGCTCGGAGTCAGTCTTCTTCCCAAGGCAGGGGACTTAACTGACTATAAAAGTCCAGTTTCCACCCTTGTCGAACTAGGCTGGAATTATGGAGTTATATCCTGGCATGACTAACGAGTCCATGCATAGTTAAATCAAAATCGTGCAATGAAATTGAAAATCGGTTCGTAAACTGTTGTGCAGATTTCGGTCGATTGCAGTATTTGCAAAGGATGTGCACTGCCAAGTCATTGTCAACAGTGATTTTCCAAATCTTTTCATGTTTTTAATCAAGGTGCTCACATGATTTGATGCACTTCTCGATGTAAGACCCATTTTATCACAATATAGATCTTGATTATCAATTAGACCGTCTTGACTGGGCGCCGCCATTTTGTTTGAAACAAATGCAAGTGATACAAGTGGTGGAATCTGATTGGTCCATAGGAGAGGCTTAGAAGGGACATAACTCGCAATAACCACTGGTGGTGCTATGATCGAGCCCAAGAATTCCAGCCTAGTTCGGCAAGGTGGAAACTGGACTTTTAAAGTCAGTTAACTCTCTTGCCTCGGGAAGATGGGAGTCAGTATACTGTGTCTGAATGGGGTATTCATGTTAAAACTGGGTATCTGGGTATCTCAGTGAACTAGCATTATAAATCGGCATCAGTCCGGACTAGTACAAGCAGCCACACAAACACACACATGTATATAAGTGCAATAATCTTGGACGAGATGTTAAACTCAATTTCACCTCACCTCACCTCACCTCACCTCACCTCACCTCACCTCAGCGGGCTAAGCAGTGACAGTATTCAAATTTTAGACATGGCTTGTAGGTTCCACATATTCTGTGAATTTTGAACATTAATCCGATATCTAGGTATCTAGAAGAGTGATTGTAGTTTGATACATTAAACGTTTGGTTTTGTTTTGTCTCAGGACTTATTATCACATATACAAGACAGGATTTCACATTTAAATCTAGTAATTATACAATAGGAAGATGAATGAAGAATGGTAGAAGAGTGAAATAATGAAAGAAGAGTGAAGGAAAGGTTAATGGAAGGTGAGGGAGAGATAAGCTTCATCACCCATGTTGTCCAATTACTCAATTACAGGTTTGTCGCCAAACAATGTATCTCATTTGGACATAGAACTGATACAGGTGAGCCATGCATCAAAGGTGTCAGAAATATGATCATATTGAAGACGATCTCGATATACACGACAGTTGATAAGAGTCATGCTTGTTATACCATTTTTCCCGGCAACAGCTGCATAGCACATTAACTGTTATTTATGTATGCATAATGTACTCAACCCCCTCTGTAGATGTGTATTGTTACAGCTGTATAGTATTACCCAGAGCTACAGATAAGCTGCGTGTTTGCATAAAATACCCCCCCCCCCAAAAAAAAAGTATTAAAAACCCAATTACTTTCAATCAACTTGCGTACAGAAATGCATGCTTTAAATGAAAAACTCAAATGTATAAAAAGGGCATGCGTAAATACCCAATGAAGCTTTCTCAGCATGCGTAATGGAGCTAATTTCCGAAACACAATTACGAGTGAATTTACTTGCTGAGTCAAGCCTATAGTTAGAACCGTTATATACATCTAAAACATTATTTTTTAATTTGAAATCTCAAAATGTTAACTCATTTTGGGAAAAGCCCAATAGAGTGATGAACAGATGAGTGAAAATATTGAAAAATGTAATAACCCAATTACAATAGAACCTTACAATCTTCGATTAAAAACTCAATTGCTCAAAAAGTTATCTGGAGCTCTGATTACCTCTACATGACAGAGAGATGAATAAAACACTTGACTAATTAAATGTCATAAAACAATTTAACAACAAATGATAAGAGATATAATACGTAATAATTGAATCCACTGCTTTTTATAAATCTTGTCAGTTCTCAAACCAATTTGTGAATTATGTTTTGAATGATCTGTTTTGAATGATCTGTTTTGTTGTGGTATATGCTGACAGAAAAGTGAGAGAGTAAGGTCATAAGGCTGATTTGAACAGTATTCCAGTTATATCACACTGTGTCAGCTTAATGTGGGAGGAAAGCCCGAAGTGATGCAGGTCTAAGAGATTAACCACTTTGATGAAACCCACAAGCACGGGTATGGTGCTGTCAAAACTAGAAACATAATCAGTGACCTGTGATTCGAACCTGTGATTCCAACCTACAATCATAGGTTTCTGGCGTGTCCAATGGACACAACTCTCGTCAGCGAATGGTTTGCTTTAGACAACTGGGCCCCTTGCTGATAAATGAATCATGACCAAGTTATATTCTAATCCCAATTCCCAGAAATTGATGATTCCAGTAATTTCATGCAAACAGATACTAAGTACTATTTCTTGTTTTATTGAGAGTGATGCAGGTACTGACACTAATTAGACAACCTTTTTCACTGTGACTGCCTCATGTCATAAGAGGCGGGATTGGGTGGTCAGGCTGGCTGACTTGGTTTATGCATGTCATCGATCCAATTTGCGTGGATCGATGCTCATGATGTCAATCACTGGTTTGTCTGGTCGAGACTCGATTATTTACAGACAGCTGTCATATAGCTGGAATATTGCTGAGTGCGGCGTTAAACAACAAACCAAACCAAAGCCTCACCTGCCTTCCACATAAACACACTCTTAAGTGGATTGTGAAAATAATACATTAAAATAATGAAAACATTACTCACACAACACACTCACGTTTAAGTGGATTGTGAAAATAATACATTAAAATAATGAAAACATTACTCACACAAACACACTCACCTTTAAGTGGATTGTGAAAATAATACATTAAAATAAGGAAAACATTGATTATATGCAGTATATTAATTCATGAGAAAATGGGGTAGTCGTCTCAGGCGCCGCGATTCGCTGTGCAGAGTTGCGTCCCTTGGACACACCAGAAACCTATGATTGTGCGTTCGAATGCCGGTTCGCCCCGATTATGTTTCTAGGTTTGTCAGCACCATACCCCTGCTCATGGGTTTCACCGAAGTGGTAAATGTCTAAGACCTGCATCACTTCGGGCTTTCCTTCCACAATAAGCTGACACGCTGTGATATAACTTGAATACTGTTAAAACCCAACTCACTCACTCATGAGAAGAAGTGAACACTCTACAAAATGGCTAAGAAGGGCAGGGATGCACTTGAGAAGCCATTGCTCATTTTGTATAATGGTGTACAGGGGAGGTAGGGTAGCCTTGTGGTTAAAGCATTTGCTCGTCACGCGGAAGACCAAGGTTTGATTTGTCAAATGGGTACAGTGTGTGAAGCCCATTTCTGGTGTCCCCCGCCGTGATATTGCTGGAATATTGCTAAAAGCGGCGTAAACCATACTCACTCACTATAATGGTGTACAGCCTTGCAAGTCTAAAGTGTCAAGGCTTGAAAGAGAATATTTAACCAGTGAACAGAATGAGGACTTTTATCACAGTTGATACCTGATTAGTTGTATTTCACGGTGCAGTACATTCAAAAACACAGTTGTGATACAATTCCACTGTATCAATAACTGAAACTATTAATGTATCCATAGCATGGTTAGACACTGAAGAATGGTATTTATGATATTCTGAAAATGTTCACTGGTCTATAGGAATGTAAAGATGTCATGGAATTCAGTCATCTTGAATAATTTAATGATCATAAACTCAACATAGCAACTTTGCATATTTTAGGGCATACTTTATCACAGATGCTTGGACAAAATTACATTTAATAAATGTAAATAGAATAAAAAAACGGACATGACAAACTGAGAGGCGAAATATTATTTTTCTCTCTCTTGGAAATTGACTAGATGCATCTTGGAAAATTAAATTTCACACAAAAATTGCAATAGCTTTTTCAGTTTACTTGCAAGTTGTATTTTCAAAACTTCAGCAGTTTGATGTTTTCCATATTATTTGCTGTAATTTAAGATTCAGCTTATTTGTTTGCGTGCGTTTTTGACGCTATTTAAGTTTTATCACA